CAAAATTAAAGCTTTGAGCAAAAAGTGCCATCACGGAAATGTCTTAAATTATGTATCTAATTTTATATATTTTACAGTATATTTTTATGTAAATATTTTCTCGAAATCCTATCAATTATGTTTCTTCTGTGACACGAGACGGAGAAACGTCCACCATATCCAACGTGAAAGTCCACATAACCAGGCTCGTCAAGTAAAATTCTCAAGGTGAACTTACCACTTAAAGTTTTTGGACACTTTTACTTGATTTTTACAGAAGAAAAAGAAAGTACATAATGTTTATCAACGTCTCACTTTCATACAATACATTACGATACTGTAATTTATACATGTATAAAACCACTTAAAATAAGATAATTATATGAGACTACGCAACGCAACATTGTACACATTGCTGTTACATAATACAACACAGTATATATATAATATCAAGACTCATATAATGTACAAATCAGATAACTTAATAAAGCAGCAAAATACTTTGTTGGATATTGTTGTACAATGAACCTGATATGTGTAATTCGTCTTCCACATTATAATTACAGCTTATACGAAATCTTTCGTTTACCGGCAATCATTCGTATCTACCTGTCTCTTTTTTTTCAGAACCACACACCTGAATTTAGCAAGCATTTCGCTGAGATCTAGAGTAAAATATATTTTTACATAGTATTCAAAATTATATTCCTTTATTTTTTTTTAAGTCTATATGATCTTGATTTGTTGCCACTCTGACGGTCACAACTTTTATTTTACTGAAGTCATCTTAAAACTTAAAATATCTTAACAATTCCTCGATGACGTAATTAGCATACCGTACAACGTTCGATTTAACTTTTATTTTATTATACTTCCATATATACTTTGTTAATTATATTTTAAGAACAATATATTTTTCATTGAAGCCATTTTAGTACTGCACAGTGATCCGTAAAATAATTAAGTGTACCTGTAGTAAAGATGCGATATTATCAAAATACAAAAACAGTATGTAATAAAAATTATTGAACCTAATCGCTAATAGTGTAGGATTAATGGTAAATACGTATGAACGCTCGGTGAAATATTGTTTGCTTGTTTTGTTGGATTTTAAATCATGCCAACACTGTAAAGGTCATATGTTTGATTGGTGGAGGAAGACTTCGCATTATTTCAGGCACGAGCGGGCATTTAAGTAGAATCAAGACCTTCCGTGGGCTCGCTCAATAGCTTCTCGACATGAAATAATCCAGAGTTAAATGATAGTTAATTGGTTAATCGTATCATAATTATTATTTTTCTACTCCTAAATTATATTTAAATTGATACTACAGGGTATAGAAGGCCGTTGCGCTAATGAAGACGGCCAATCTTAACTAAAATGCACTTTTTAATTACAAACGGTTGGCTGAACTACACTGGACTTTTAGTGTTACCGACGCGTTATTTAAAATGCCATGATTTAATGGTAAAGGGAGTCTGCCGGTGGTATTCCGTACATTATTTCACAAATAAGCTCACACTTTCGTGAAACCCCTAGCTAAATCTGTGATATATATAACCGTTTGATCTTCTTTTAAATAATCATATTGTTTTCCAGAAATAGTTCAGCGTGTACAATTAACGGAATTAAACTGGTTTCCGGCCACATGAGAGATAAAGTTCATTCTACAACACTCCTTGTTTCGACATTAATAATAATTATTGCAAACTAATGCTTCAAATCACCTTCCTAAAATGTTTATTCGACGGCTTGATCCCTTGATATCAATAAAACTGATGCCATCATTTATCAAACAGATAATATTGTCACTAATAGGGTTTCAATTAGATACGTTAGAATAAAACAACTTATATCTTTTATTTAAAACAACTTTCAATGGTATTACTATAGCCTGCAATTAACCATATAGTATAAGAGAAAAATATATATATATATAAATAAAGCGCAAATCTTGTTTTAAAGCGATGTCCTATAATGAAAGTGGTGCGGTGGAAGTATCTGATAGTTAAGAACCTTGTGTCAAAACTTTTAGCCATGCCATAATTAACAATACTTGCTGACTTTCTAACTTTATTTCAAGTATAACAGTAAGTATTCACCATACAAATTTTAATGCTTTATAACATAATTTTCTTTGCATGATGTATATCAAGAGACTAACGTTCAGGGATATTTGTATATGACTGACCTCTCACATACATTTCTTCTTCTTGACGTCCATCAACATAAATGTCATGGTGTATCAAAGCTAACACTTTTATCTGACCTTGAATTAAGGTCACCCGTAAAGAAAACAATAACTTTACGTATACAATTATAATTTCATACATTGTACATGTATGTCAATATTTGATTTTGGGTAAAAATGATTCACTTAGATTTATATTGATTTTTGTAATCTTTCGACTCCCAAGGCACAATATTGTAAAAGTAAAAAAAAACATCAATAAAAAGACATGACTTATCTGTTGTGCATTCAATTTCCCTTATGGTTCATTCAATGTTTATTTGGTTTTAACACATACATACAATATTGATGTAACACTTTATAGTTTGTATTGTTGCATTCAACATTATATAATTATTGACTGTTATACATGTATACAAAGATTTAAAGAACGAACGCGTTTAAGTTCTTACGACTGATAAAATTTAAATTCTAAAAGTAGAAAGATAAATGTAAATGTTCATATTACTTTTTTGCTATATAAATTGATTATGTGGCTAGACAAAATACATATGTATTATGGTGTCTTAATTTAGGTACTTGGTTAAAGCATAATGAGAATATCGCTCATTTCATAAGCAATACAACTAAAACGTAAAGTTTCTAAGAGAAAATGAACAAATTATCTCTAAAGGCACAGTATGCCTCAGATATGAAATAATTTTCTACAATTATAGTAATTCCCAAAGAGCAAAAGAAGCAAAAGATAGGTCAGCAATATGGACAATTTTAAAACTATAACAAGATACCAAAAATAAAAAAGGTTTTGAGAAATTAAAATGATAGCATTTCAGGCGCTTAATGGGCTTTAAAATTAATTTATATCGCGTTGTATCTAGAATAGCTTAATAATATATCCTATAAACTAAATACGACTGCGAGAGAAACATAATAATAACGGCTATGAATACAGGTTTATGTTCAGTTTCAGTGTATGATATATGGAAAAACAGGGGGAAAACTGAATTAAATGAATATGGTACATTATATTTAAAATGAGTTATGTTGGATGCCGTCGGCAGAACTGCGAAATGGCGAGACGATATTTCAGGTTAGGTGTAATTTACCACTTTTCAATTCCATTTGGTATAATAAATATACATGTAATAAAAGCTGATATCTTTTACCCACTTGATTCACAAAATAATTACCGGACTTTACACTGAATCACGGGTAGAAAATCCACTTCTCGGGATGTTTCTGCAAATTAAAATCGTCTCGACCTTTCTGCCTCAACATACTTTTAGCAGACATAACCCTCGATGGTACCCAGGCCAGTGTATATATCATCGTAATTAACTCGTTTCATATACTATAACTATTACTTAAAGTATATGCATAGGAAATAATATAACTGCTAAAGTGTTTTCAGTATAAAAAAAGATGAACAAGGTTGTTTTTAATCAATCTGCGGAGCTGTCTGTCGTTAAAGCGAAAAATAATGCAATAGCTATCCCGATATGATCCCATTTGTAGAGTAAAATATACAAATGAGCATCGTCACGACAAAACCAACATAATGGGTTTGCGACCAGCATGGATCCAGACCAGCCTGCGCATCCGCGCAGTCTGATCAGGATCCATTCTGTTCGCTATCAGTTTATTTACTTGTTATAGGGTCTGTAAGCGAACAGCATGGATCCTGATCAGATTGCGCGGATGTGCAGGCTGGTCTGAATCTATGCTGGTCGCAAACGCACTATGTTGGTTTTGTCGTGACGCGACTCAAATGTAGTAAAGTCAGTGCATGTATTGTAAGATAGACAACTTGTCACGTTGATTGTAAACATATAAAACTCTACATATATTTTCATTATTTTAAGAAGACATGTTTGAAAATCTGTATCCATACTTAAAGAAATGTAAAATTCTAAACTGGACCATGACAAGTATTGTGTCCAAATCGATGGTATTGTAGTTTATAAAATTGTCACAGCCTGGAGCATTGGTTAAAGCTTTTGTTTATACATGACTTGAGAAAGACCCTAGGCAGAACGCTTAATTGAGAAACATTGATGTAAAAATGATGATATGTTCAAACGAATAAAATATGAATAAAAAATAATAATGAATTTACATGCAATTATTAATGTGAGGGGAATAAGCAGTTGTGTCGGAAAAGGGGATGCGTAGATGAACTTACTTGTTTAAAGGTAATGCATACCCAATACTTGTAAGAAGTTATCTTTAATTTTGAGTTTTAAAATATTTCTTTAAAAAATAGTATGCTGTCATTATATGATAATATAAGAATATATTATAAGTATAGCGTGATTTAAAACTATGTTGTTTTTCTAAGTTTTGCCAACTGTGTTTACTTTATTTCTTATTTTCAGTTTACCAGACTTACCAGACCAACAAGAACAAAAAACATTGTACAATGATTGCAACATGTCCGTACAAATCACAATACCTATATCTGCATAAATGCATCTAGAAAATACGAAACAAGTTAATGTTGTGAAGAAAATTCGGATCAAAAAGAATTAGAAAAACTCTGGAAACTGTATACTGACTGAATCTGTATTAAATATTGGATGGTATTTCTACTGCATATGGCAATCCTGAGCTATTCACGCTTTTAACAGTTCTAAGCTCTTGAATTAATATTTTATCTAAAGAACATATAAAAGTGAAGAAATGTTTACATTATCCGCTTTAACCCAAATTTCACGTGGAAAGCTGATTTTTAACGTAGTAGATTGGAGCATGCATAAGAAGGAAAATTTATTACTCCTCTACTAGAGAAGTACTTCACTTTGCCGAAGATACAATCGTATATCTTGATATCAATATTCATTACTTAATGTTTACATGTGTCCAACAACTAAATTAAGTTGTAAATAATTAATTGTGTTGATCTCTATAAATCTATGACATCCAATTTTATAAAATGGGAATGGTATATAATCTGTAGAGATCAGTATTAATGACGTTGGTGTCAAGTGGACCATATCGCCATTATTTACAAATAGGCCCCGGTAAACTCTTAAATCGCTATCAGATTGTTTGCTTCATTAGAACAAGACTAAAGAAATGAAACTACCACTCATTTATTTTTATGAGTGAGTAATGAAGGTACGCAGATGAACATTTGAAATATAAAAAGGGAAAAGTTACCAAAACGGAAATAAATATGGATAATATTACCAACATAATAAACACTACAGCTTCAATTATGAATGGAACAACTGAGCGTGGACCGACACCACTACCAGCGACCCCTCCACCACTTGGTTACTATGGAGATACGAGGGTGATGATGTGGAAGATAGTTCCACCTATTATCATGCTCTGGGGGACCATCGGGAACATTTTGACAATAATAGTACTTTTCCGACAGAAGAGCAAACTGTCGTCGACGGCACTTTACCTGGTAGCTTTAGCTATCTCAGACACGATGGTTCTATTCACCGGGCCTTTGAGACACTGGCTGAAGGAGACATGGGATTACAATATCAGGTTTAAATCTGAGGCAGGTTGTAAGTTACAGCTCTACTTTACATATGCTGCCTTACATTGCTCGTCATGGTTACTTGTTGCCGTGACTACAGAACGTGCAGTTAGCGTCGTGTACCCTCACAAAGTAAGACTTGTGAGCACCAAGAAGACAGCAACAATTGTTATAGCTTTAATAGTTATAATAACATATGGAATAAACATCGTCATCCCTGTAATAAATGGACATGATACTTATATGAAACTTCAGAAGTGTGCGCCGACTACGAAAGAGTATTTAGAATTCCGTGATGACATCTACCACTGGATTGACTTTTGTCTTACTTTTGCATTACCATTTATATTTTTACTGGTCGGGAATATATCAATTATAGTATGTTTACAAAGGTCGAGAGCAAAGCAGAAAACAATGACATCCGCACATGGACGAGGCGGAAGTTCGACCACACGTGACACAAGGTCTGTGTCAGTACTTATGATTGCCCTTTGTGTGATTTTCTTCCTAACAATGACTCCAGTAAGTATATTCACAACAATCTACTATCCTAACAAGTATGACATTATAAATGAATTATTTAAAACGGATCCTTACCAAGCATGGGATGACTACCAGTTTCTCCTGTTTCAACATTCTGTCGTTAATCTTGTTAGTTACACGAATGCGGCGTTCAATTTCATTCTATACGTTTTCAGTGGTAGCAAATTTCGTAAGGAGCTAAAATCTCTTTTCATGTGTTCGGCTAGTACAACAACCGGCGCTTTTAGCCAGAACACGGTCAAATCATCCAAAACCGTATCTACATCAGTTAGTGCGACACGACAGTCAAAGTATCAGTATGGGAAGGATGAAAATGGTACACAATCAAATGGCACTAACAATATTCAAATGGAAGCCACCAATAATGATTTCTCTGATTCTGCTACTACAGGGGAGAAAGATCCCATAGAATAAACTTTGCTGGCAAGATAATAGAAATCCAACAGGTAAAAATACGACAATTATTTACAAAAATATCAACACCAAAATAACTTTGTCTGATGAATGTTGATAAAGTTGTGTGATTCAATAAAAGTAAAGGACAGTGAAAAATGTATTGGAACATAATATTTAGATTCACCTTAGACCTAGTAATCATATTACTTGAGCAAAAGCTTTAATATACAGAATGGAACCCTGCATTCATTGAATACTTTTTTTATTTAACAATTTCACCATGGACAATACAAGCTTCAATTGCTAAAATCTGGAAAAGTGGTGATCCATCGGAAGCAATGATAACAACTGTATTAAATAAAAACTTCAGACTCTGTTTGATTTAGTCTGTTCCTTAGATAATGTAATTGAACATTATCTCTTACGCCCCCTAGCACCTGCTTAAGCCGGTATTCTTCAATCTTCAGCACTAATGTGCTGGAACCAATGATCCCGTCGGACCAGAAAAAATATAACAATTTGCAATGTAACAAATGCATTATTATTGCAAAATCATTTATAAAGCGTTGTTTTGTGTATTATATTTTGTTTTTTTAAAGATGTTTGTTTATTTTTATCATCTTTTTCTAAATTTCTAAATGGAGTAAATGAATTATTTGATGAAATATATTTTAAATTTCAATATATTTCAAATGTTTCATTCTAACAGAGAATATAGGAGCTACTTCTTTCGTAATCTATTCAGTATTTATTTTTTTTTTTTGATAAATGTAAATTGATGTCAATAATATCAACTACTGTACGATTGACGTGTACCTCAACACAGAAAATTGGCACATTTGCTTACATTGTAATTGTTTCTAATTAAAAGTTAAATATAAAGATATAAAACAACAATTAAAGTAATTGCCGGAGAGAACATCAAATAAACATGTTGTAATTTATTTTAATATTGTATTTGTTCAATAATTGTTGTCTTCAATTTATATCGTAAATATGTGTTCGTATGTAGGCCAAGAGGTTTAACTCTTTTACAGCAGAAGACTTTAATTGGAGGAATGTAATAAAAAAGAATTTACCAATTTATTCAAAATGACCGCTTATATAATCGTGGTTTGTAACTGAAAAAATCAATCAAACTTATTCTATTTTTCTGTACTTTGTACTGAAATAACATATTTGTACTGAAATAACAATTTTATTTCGTGATATTTTAAGATTTGATAAATATTACACTTTTTTGTAAGGTGCGCCTTCGAAGTTCAAATTGAACCATCACACGTCACCAGCAAGTTGTTGATATCATATGTAGTATGTTTTGGGTTGTCTCCCATTTATATAAAAATTCATTCAGTTTGTTACTTTCTACTTATTGATGTTATATTATTAAACTTCAAATTTGTTTTGTTTTGTTATTCAATATTTGTAATCTTGGTTAAATCTTTTCAATATGATTATGCAGAAGCAGTTTTTCAAACACTTTTAATTAGATTACATTTATTTGGCAGACTTTGTATTTTTGTAGATTTGAAACTTTAAAATGATTTAATTAGCATATGGTAGTAATTTTTACTTAGCTTCTGAAAGACATGTAAAGATTGCTATGCTTACGTCCCCATTTCCCCATTTAACATCATTGAAAATCAATTTAGTCGGTTTTTTTTATAAAGTTACCGGTATATAAGATTTAGCAAACACCCGTCTGTTTAATTGAATTAATTTAAACGAATCAAAGCATGGACGTCTGACGCCTCTCGAGGAGACTTCAACTTTTATAGATGTAAAATAATATTTTAACGTCATCAAATTTCAGACAGGATTAACAAAAGTATCTGATTAGTGTTGTTGTTGTTGTTGTTGTTATATTTACATACATGTATCGTTTGTGCATCGTGTAAATTCAGATGTGATAAAATTAAATGTTGAAAGAACTCAACAGTCTTTGTATTATTTATTTCATCTTCAGATACTCTTGTTTTATATTAATTACTCAAGAGGAAAAATAATATAAAGTACAGTACAAAATCTCAGTCAAATGGTTCCGCAATTTATGAAAGTGGCCCGGAATGTTAACTCAGTGTATGAGATTTTGTTTGTTATACATGCCAGATACCTCTCACTTACAGATATCATTTTCATTGATATATCAATGGGTAATTTAAAGATGATAAAGGAGCCCATTCAGCTGCTAAAGGGGACTCTTGAATTAAGTTTTGGCTGAAACGCTGTCTGTTATTGAAACTTGCTTGAGGTAGATATCTGTAAATACTATGAGCCTTCCCTTACCAACATGATCATCATTGATTAAAGTAAGACCGCTTCAGTTTGTTTGTTTTTTACGTTATTTGAGTATGGAGAATTAATATTTTAGAGATACGTTTTTGTCCAACGCTTTTCAGAAGTGACTGCTGATTACTTGAATAAAGGACTTACCTTGTTGGCATGTTTCGCCCTTCCATCCGTTTTGACAACCTGCTGGACAGTTCCCCGTCACATGATCGCATGTTACGTTGTCGTTGCATTTTCCACATGATTGCATGCAGTTCTCACCAAAAAGTCCCGGCGAACATTCTGTTAGTATATATATCACAAAGTATCAGAACATGTCAAATAAAAGCTGTGTTTTATACACCTCTTAAAACTATTATTGCCGATAAGAGATCTTGAGCATTATTCTAATTTGAATAAATGCAAGTTTATTAGCTAAACGTTTAAGAGTGTTACGTCTTAATATAATTAACTCACCCTTGTTACAACGTTCTCCAATAAAACCAACTGCACATCCCGCTGGACAGTTTCCGGTCACGTGATGACATGCGGCACCTTCTCGACAATTTGCACATTTAGATTCACAACTCGGCCCATAACTTCCCGGACTACAAACTAAAAGAAGATATATTATGAAATGTTTTACCATATAAATGACAATCTTGATAACAGTTGTGTGATTTTAAAGTAAATAATAACAAGCCATATAGTTTGCAAATGATTCGGAAATCTGAAGTTTCAGCCATGTTAGGAATTCATGTTAAGATTAAAATGCTAATGCATGTATAAGAATTATAACAAACCCTCTATGCATTTCGAACCAACCCATCCAGGTTTACATCCGAGAGAGCAAACTCCTGTCTGTGAATCACATGTCCCTATACAGTTACCACACGTATTCTGACAATCCTGACCGTACTTCCCAGCCTCGCAAGCTACAAAATGAAAATACCAATAACTCATGAAATCTTCAGTTCTAAAAACTGTACTTTGAGATAATGAAGTATTATTTATGCAGCTAGTCTTATTTATAGTTTGTAAATAGCCTGACATTTGTAACCAACAATATATAACACGTCAGTTAAAATCAGAAATGACCCATTTCTGTTATACAAAATCTAAATTGGCCATTTTTAACAGGAAAATTACCAAACCACAGTTGCTTGCAATAGCATGTTTAGCGGTTTCCATTTTTGTCATAAATCGTATGCTAAACGTTAATATAATTAAACATGTCCATCTATGTTTTGATATTCAGTGAAAAATTACATTACATCACATTACAAAATTTCAAGTTGTGAATGTTTTAAATGCCATCTTCAATGTCTGCCGCAAATAATGTAAAATTTACATAATCACAGATGAATTTTGCTTACCAGCGTCACATTTCTCTCCCGTCCAACCTGGTTTACACGTGTTGCACGTGCCGGTCACGCGGTCACACGATGAGAACGGGTCTGAACATTGTCCACACGTTTCATTGCAATTAACACCATAGTAACCATTTTCGCATTCTAAAATCATTAAAATATAAAGAAATATATGGAACATTAAAACAAAAAAACAACTGCAGAAAAAAGGAAACTGTCGATGAAATTGTCATACGACAAAGAAAAAAAATAACGTAATTATTATTCACTTATAAATATATTTATAAAGACCAGGGGAGGGTGTAAAAACTTGGGCCCAACCCCTTTGCTATTTGTTATTTCGATATCACTTTGTTTATCTGTATATATTAGCAATTAAATATGATTAAACTATAAACTTATATAGAAGTTATTGACATACTTGTATTACAGCTTAGACCCTTCCAGCCAGCTTGACAGTCCGCCGGGCAAGCACCAGTGTCTGTATTACAACCGAGTTTATCTTGACAATGACATCTGTTCTCACAAAGGTCGCCATATGTGCCGTTAGTGCATGCTGTAGAAAATCAAATATTATTCAAGAGGTTTAAATGCAATGTAATAACACCGGTTTCCTGAGAATAAGAAGTACATTCATCTTGAGAACATGTTACCATCGTAAACGAACATGTAACAAATGCAAAATGTGCAGGAAACAAGATATAACATTTCAGTAAAATAAGTTTTATTTAAAAATTAGGTATAACTTAATAACTTGATATACATTTTACTATGTTGTATTTGTTATTCATATCTAATGATATAATGATGTGGTCATTAAATGTCATAATTAACAAGCTGAAACACTAAACTTACAATACACCTGGACCTCACATAGTTCCAGGTTTGCCCAGCACGAGTACAGGGTTTGTGTTGGGCAATTTCGTATAGGAGTTTGTGTTGGCCGATCAATGTACAAGATGACAAAGCGCCCCTTTCGCTGTGTGCAAGCAAGGCTACCGTCTCGTAAAACGAGGTGCGGGGGTGGAAACACGAAATCACTCATTTGATCTATGTAACACAGACCCTCGTTCTTGGCCTCTTCAACGCTGTTAGATATATAAACACGTAAACCAGCCCGCCGTGACTGTGACATGGCATCTGAAAACAATAAAACCATCTGTTAAATCATCGTCTAAATCTTGCAGGCGATCAAAAATGACATACGTAAGCAATATCCATCATCAACCAAAAGCATTTTACTAATTCCAAGATAAATGTTCTTTCTGAACTTTTAATCCAAAGTCACTATTGCGTTTTACACTCGTGACAAATGATGAATATAAAAGAATATAAGGACAAGATGGCCCCTACAGTTGCATCTTTACCGACCCCACAAATAAAGTAAGTAAATAGAATAAGAATAAATATATTGACAAAACGGACGGCAAAAAAGAGGTAAAAGTAGCATACCGTCGGTGCGAAAGAAAACTTCTATAGTTTTAATGTTGTATGTGCTACCAAGATCAACATTCCACCAGGTTTTAAACACATCATCATTATTGTGTGCCCAAGCACAGGAACCGTATGTTCCGTCTTGATCAGGATTTCCGTCTACCGCACGTGACGAGTTCCAACCCATGTACGTGCCATGTTGATATGTCTTCTTGCCGAGAGCAACGTTTTCTGAAATCAAGATATTGAAAATGGTATATACAAGTGTAAGGTGCATTTTAAAAGAAAATAAGAAGTGGATTTTTAATTATTTCATTTTTTTTTCTTTTGCAAAAGGCAAAAGTATAATGCATGTGTATAAATTGTGAAGCATACACTCTGGACTTATTATATTGCACGCACAGATCGGTAATTAATTGGTTAGTGGTTTAGTGTCGCATCATTTAACTACGGGCATCGTGAGGAACGAAAGCACTTGTAGATAATAGAATCGTTTTGTAAGAAAATACATGTACATATTTAACTTAAAAATATTTTAGGCATTTTAGAGTATTAAATTTTACAGATAAGCAAACTGATCGAAGCATTGCTAGCATGAAAATACATGTACAAGTTTTCAACTAGTCACAGTTTTTCTGATAAACAAGAAAAATTAATAGATGTGCAAATTGTACATTTACATGACATATACAATGTAACTATTAACCTACCAGCTTGACAATAGGGAGCCCCTGACCAGCCTGCTGCGCATCCATCAGGACATTTCCCAGTTTCTGGATCACACTCTGTACCTACCAGGCAGTGGCAGCTAAACTCGCACTGCTCACCATATTTTCCCTGAGGACAAATGGCCGGGTTTAAAGCAAGATTTTCGGCAAGTGGGTCAATAAATCCGTCGACTGCAGGAAATGGTTGGGCTGGAAATAATAATAATTCTTTTAATTATAAACAAAGTACACACAAATACTCAATTATGCCGTGATTTATAAGGAATGTATCACATTTGAGCGTATTTAAGTACATTTGTGTTTTACTGTTTGATTGCCATTTTTAATTGTAGTTTTCTGTTGTCAACATAAGTTGGTCATCTACTTGTATGCACTAAGATGGTAGAGAAGACAAAACTTGCATTACAGAATTACCAGAAATTGTCTATTGCAACATTCCACAGAAACAAATGTGCATGTATTAAGCGTATATTACATATCCAGACAGTGAAATACCGGTATTACTGATAACGTTAATTGCTTTACTGTTACATTTATAATACATTTTTTTTTCCATATTTTCTGCTAAAATAGATAAGTAGTTTAACAAATTGAAAGGTATAAATTTCAAATTTTTAAGTAGGGAAAATAGTATATAAAAAGTAAACAAGATGAGTTCGTAAAATTCAAATGCTTCGCTTCGCATAAAAACAATGGGGGAAATATCCTCAATTTTGAAGATATGACCTCGACGATAGATAAGTTTCTGTTTCAAAGTCATATTTGAATGCAACGAAATATAGTTGTTCTTAACATTATGAGGATTTTAGTTTATCAAAGTGTTATAAAGAAGACTGAGGTTTTCAGCAGACAATCATACAATCAGTTGGGCAGACGAGACCAAACAAGACCTTCCCCTCCTCTCCTATCCATCCGCCATCCATCTGCCGATAGGGATGGTTTTCATATGATAGCTTGTCAGGAGTTCGTGTGACTACTGTCACTGAATTCGTCGGAAAACGTTTGTATATACTACAGAAACACTCGTCAAAAACGGTAAATTTTATCTTTAAAAAGTGAGGTATAGTTGCTTAATTAAACTTTTATGATTAAGCTTGCCTTACATCTTGAATTATGTGTCAACTACTGATTTATAGTCCATTTTTCATCGCCTCTTGTTAAAAAATCTGGTAGTTTTGAGTAAAATTTCAAAATTATTTGCTAATTCGCACATATTGTCCTGTGAGATATAGGGCATAAAATATTTGATATGAATACATGAGTGCATCTATGTCATTATCTACATACAAATGACATACGGTTGAATTAAAGGTAGATATCTAATGACGATAATTTCTAAATATCTTCCTCAACATTTGAGCCGCGTCACGACAAAACCAACGTAATGCGTTTGCGACCAGCATGGATCCAGACCAGCCTGCGCATTCGCGCAGTCCGATCAGGATCCATGCTGTTCGCTTACAAACCCTATAACAAGTAGAGAAACTGATAGCGGACAGCATTGATCATGATCAGACTGCGCGGATGTGCAGGCTGGTCTGGATCCATGCTGGTCGCAAACCCATTATGTTGGTTTTGTGATGTCATGGCTCATTTGTTTAGTAGAGAGTGAGAATGTAACAAAGTTATGTTGTTTTTTTTACTTTTGCAAAATTATTTCCTTGTTGTTTTTTTGTTGTTTCTTTTTTCTCAAAACGAACAGTACGTTTTACACTTAGCTCATTTTCTGAAGATCAAGCTCATGTTAAATTATGTTTAGTTTGGAGCATTCTAGTTCTGCACAGAGCCTGGAACCGTCAAGAACAGTTGTCCACTTTCCATGAATAATGTTCAACTTCTCGTGCAATCAATTTGCTCCAGTTTTTATTCATCATAATTACCCATTAACCTTATATGACGCATGCTGGGTACACACTAAAACTTCAGTAATGTATAACATACATTTTCAAAAGAAAATGTTTTCCTAAAGGTCAACCTTAACATTGTTTTATTCATAATATTGCCCGCTTTTTAAAACTTTTTTCTATAAAGATCAATTATTGAAACTTTTGATTGGCTCTAGACGTCTTTTCCATTAAAGAAACATATAGCTGAAATAAATTTGTTTTAGCTACAACAAAAAAGTATTAAACTCCATAGATAAAAAGATTGTTGTACTTAAACCCACATTTATGTATATGATTAGTTTGATAACCGAGTTTTACTTATTTAGTGAATATTTGTGTGAAAAAAAAAAGGATTAATGAACTGTGACGGAATTTAATTAAATGTAAAATGTATGTATTAGAGCATATTAGAAAGGACATAAACATTGTACAAAAAATGTACATCAAATTCGTTTGTTTGTAAAGTTACAAAATGCCGATTTTAGCACATGTTGGTAATATCTCGGCGGTTGCTTAACCTATCGGACTTTCCTGGATAACTAACCAGTAATTACTACTTTGTGTACAAGTGATCAACTGCTAATCCCACATAAATCCTGAATCAGCGATGAGAGACAAATGAGCCAGGATCTATGCTGTTCGCTATCAGTTTCTCTACTTGTAATAGAGTTGGTAAGCGAACAGCATGGATCCTGATCAGACTGCGCGGATGCGCAGACTGGTCTGGATCCATGCTGGTCGCAAACCCATTATGTTGGTTTTGTCGTGACGTGGCTCAAATGGCCTTTAGAATCTATGTTCGAGATTATTTGTCACTGAATAGTTTCTCCCTCTTCCCTTGGCTGTCACTAGAATCTATGTGAGGGTACACGGATCATTCAATAACTTATTAACTAATAATTGTATCCTTATGGTATTTTAAAACGCTTCTTTGCACTTGAATGGGACGTTCAATTATATATTTGAAGTAAATACATTAAGAAATAAAAAACAGTTACAGATAAAATATTTTACTGCTGAAATCTGTACGCGGACGAGGACCTGACAAAAGCTCTCCATATACTTCGTATGGTCGAGCTTTTCGGGGTAATAGTGATGTTAATAAACCCAAGAACTGAAATAACATCCAAGACGATTCAAAGGGTGTTATTTCAGTTCGAGGGTTGCCATGTCTGTTAATTTATGTAATTTTTCACCGCTATGAATTATTTGATTTTATCAAGGGAGAGAACTAGAACTTGTACGTGTTAGTCTATATAGATTACTCGCCCTTGGGAAATATTGCACGGGTTAGATAATGTAACATCACATTTGGCTCTCTATGGTCAAATGTTTACGTGAGTTATAATATTATAAGATGATTTATTTCAGGCTAGTTGCGTGTAATGTGACCGAGATACTATTCGAAATTCATGCAGTCATCTGCATATACACGACAGACAACAAAACTGTAATTCGTAGCTACATTAAAGGAGATAGCTCACTGTATTGGCACATCGGATAGCAGAATTCATTTAATTCTGACCAAGTGTTTGGGTTTGCGTTTGGTGGGTACCACATTTGCTCACTAAGGAGCAAAAGAAAAGCGCCTTAATTCCTAACTTGCTGATTGTGTGTATATGTTTGAGCTTCAAAGAAGGGCCGATACCAAACAGTGGTTGCGAAAAGATAAAAAAAAAAACGGCAATGTATTGACAGACGGACCATCAGTACTAAGAAGCTATTGAAAACGAGTTTATCAATTCTAATGGACCAGCCGGTCAAGTACCTTGTCCATCTGGTAACACAGTCACTTGACAGTTATAGTGAAAAAAGTGAAGACGCGTTTTACAATAAGCGCCAAAGCAAAGGATGATCTGCAGTCCATCTTATACTTTTTATTAAACGCGAGATTGTTTACTCTTTATTGGCGTCTGAACATGTTAATGTTGTAAACCATCAGCCATATCTTCTCAATTTCTTTCTGTTTCCCAGGCTTAAGAAAATACTGTCTGTTTAAAGATATACGTCCAGGAGTTCTCTTGGCAGCACAATTTATCAATTTATCAATGTCTGCGACATATTCCAAAGGATTTTTTCCAGCTTTTTGAAACTTGACAGAGAGATTACAAAAATGCATTTTGATACAGGGGAGAATATTTTAGAAAAACATTTTTATAAACGTAGCAATTTCAAAATTTGAACCCAGTGACAGATCACACCGAATGACTCTCGTAAAAGGTAAAATTCAGTCAATGGTTAGTAGCAGTATGCTATCATGGCACACAAAATATGAAAGTCATCCATAGTACTCGCTATAGGAGGCATTTTTTCTCTTAGTCTGAAGAATGTTAACTTAAAAGTAGGTTGTGTCGGACTTAATATAAATCAAATGGCGACGTGGCGGATGTAACTTGTGAGGTCATTTTCTTTTGGAGAAAAAAAATACAGTACTTTTTCAGAGAGTTGTATTTAAATATGTTAAATGTTATTAATCTAGAGTATAACATCCTCCTAATGTTTTGTTATTGTTTGTCAGTCGGTGGGATTACATTCCTTTGCGTGAATCATGACATATTTTATAGTATGAAAGTCGTCCATATTACTCGCTAAATGAGGCATTTTTATAACGTAGTTTTTTTTCGGGTTGTGGTAGGGGTTTCATTAAAGGTGTGTAGTGGAAACAAAGTGTAGGTTGTTTAATTAATTAAACTGATCCAAATACATCTACGTCAAATATATGTTTCGTTGTTTTAGCCGCGTTTGTAAGAATAAATAACGAAATACTACAGTAGAGCGCGCGATGGTCCAAGTCAAACATCGATCAAGGCGAGTGATATATGACCCACTCCGCCGACAACTAACCTCGTCTTTTAAAACACATACCTTTCGAACATGACCTAAATTCTTTCATGTTTACATGTTGTTTATTTAAAATATGTTCGTCATTATTACATAAGATGTAGAACTGTATACATTAGGCAAAGAAATAAAATAAACTAATGAAAAGAGACATGATAAAATAAGATTTTTGAACATTGAATACAACCAATGTGTGAAGTGAACTCCAAGTCGGCAAAACTATGAGCAAATGTTTAAAAGTTTTTATGGTTATACTTGAATGAAAGAGCGAGTGAATGAATGAGTGAGTGAATGAAAGAAAGAATGAATGAATGAGTACAATTGTTACGAAACCGTGTAGGTAGCAGTATTTCTAAAGGCGTTATAAATATGATTCAAACTTAATTTCAAAAGCAATTGAAGAATTAATCAGTTAACATTTACAACAGTTTTATTTTTACATCTTAAAATTATAACATTTACATGTCATTTTAGTTTTTCTTCCTCTCTCTTAATGATTATATATATCTTAAAGACTTACCTTGGACTATAAACGGCACAAAAATTAAGCCAACAATTATTACTGGCACATTAAATCCAGAGCACATTGTCTTAATACACAATTAGAAAAACAGAACAATTAATCCATTGGAAGAATAAATACCAGGAAAAACACTTATTATAAAGTAAAAAAACCAACACACTATAGTCACGTCAAGAATGTACTAAAAGTAATTATGTACAAATAAGCTAAACAGGTGAGGACTCATAACTTCTCCCTGCCTACTTCCTTATCTTAGGGCAATCGATGAGACATCTACTGACGTTTGTGAACATATATGTAATCGCTTCACTTCTTAAAAACAAAATCAATCAAACACTGACCGCTAATTAATTTAAAAATTTCAACTTTCTTTACGTAAAATATGCATGAATGTAGAAGACTTTAAAATAGTCATAAGAAAGTAACATAGAACACTATTGTAAAGTTATTAAAAACAAAAAAGCTACATCAACTTTGAAGACATACAAATAAACTTTTTTGACTGTAGCGTTGTTCTTTTTTAACAATCACTTAAATATATCACAGGTAAAAATGAGAGATGTAACAAAGAGTTGTAAATATCCGCGACCTTTTTAACATCTTCACAAAAACTGTAACAAGGTGAAAACAGCTCATAAAGTAGCAATATTAAGCGAACAAAACGGCGGGAATGACCGGTGCCGGAGGGGACAGGTTAATGCATGTTAAACATGTCAGTGTAGATATTAATAATACAAAAAGTACTGTCACTAACGCTAATTGTACGTAACAGTCAATTTTCATAGCTAAATCAGGTGTCAGTAAGATCGTGCATTTAATATAATTGAATAAATTTCACTAAAATGCGCCAGAGGCGGCCTGTGTTAGTAAATTTATGAAACTGAAGAAATAGATGATCGAAAAATGATAAAACAAGAGAACATGACAGTCGAAATTATTTCTTAAAGGGACTCCATTGAGGTTTTTGGACATGACAAGACTGGAAATATTTTTTCGAGATTTTTATATCTTTTGATGTAGGTCTATTCCAATAACTCTTGTTCAAATTTTCAAATCATTTGTTCACTCGTTTTTTTTCCAGAATCATCAGTTATATTGTGCTAAATGACCTTAGAATGAAAGACGTTTTTTAATGGTACTTAATATCAAGATTCAGAGTCTATTTCTATATTATCTTTTTTCCATTTAAGTGCTCATTTTAATACCTAGAATATGAACAATTTATTTTTATGTAGTCTGTTTATAACCGTCAGTATAATTTCATAATCTCCAATGTTCCTTTACAAAACTTGGGCAGTATTCAAACTTACCACTGTTAATATTATAATCAATTACATGTATCAACATGGGCCAGAAAAAAATGTAACACTACATATAGTTACTAGACTCTACTTTAAGAAGTTAGTTTCACTTAAATTTTTTGATGTCCAGCTGCCAATGCATTTTTAATGATACTGGTCCAATGTTATATCTATAAATGCTAAAAACAGGTTGACATATGGCCACACAATAAGAAATAATGAAATCCATGTATGTATTTATCAGTTTTTATTAATATTTGAATATATAGTAACAAATAAACAAAATATTTACTACAAAGTTGTTAAATTATCTAAATCCTCTTAGATGGCCATATATGAAGAAAGACAGCTGCAACTGAATATTGTAAATATCAAGTAAAATATACATTTTATATCAGTGATATTTACTCAAGACCTGACATATATTTAGGGATATAAATATAAAATCATCATATCTTAACTTTTTTTCAAAATTAAGGTGTTTTTTCATTTTAATGTATAAAATTTTCATTATTTATTCCAAATATCAAATACCATAACCATTTACTACTAAATGCAAGATATAATTGAAACATTTTTTAACATTTACAACATCTGATTCCAAGGAAGAAATTAATGTAAGTAAAACATCTCTTGGAAAAATAAATAGCTCAATGCAAATGAAATATAACTTATATTACTTCAATGTAGGAACACTCAACAATGACTAGAAGATCTCAGGTGTATTTCAATGTACATGTATTTTATAATGTAAGATTTTGAAACCAAAAACTGCATGCTTAAGCAAGATTCTTCAATTGAAAAAAAAAACAACAAAAAAACAAGATAGTTATTCAATTTACAATGTATTTATATTTTCAGCTATTTTGGCAAGCTTTTCCAACCATCTAGTTATAGGAAGACATTTTTCCAATACTGTCTACACCAAGAATGACACAGTCAAACACTAAAGTTTAAACAGAAACATCCAATCATCAATAACCAAGTTTAAACTGTTTCATTTCATCAAACCCATCTGGTTGACTCAAGTTTATATAACTGTTAACTCTAAGGATTGTGAATTCTAGTCATGAACAAGTTAAAAAGTCTCCTTCATTGACATTCTTATGTTTTATACCAAGATAATTTGGTTACATAAAATATGTCTGACACCATCTGACCTTCTTCACTGTTATAAAATATCATGCATGTTGAGAAGTTGGCAGTTACTGGCAGAACATTATTTCAATGTTGGTACAAAAAACTTTGAACCCTTGTTAGGTACCTGCCTACCAATATATGACTGAAATACTGTTTAACAGGCTTTAAAACATAACAAGACAAACAACACAATCAATAGATAATAAGTTAACCTTAATCAGGGAGAAGTTTATTGCAGCATAAGCAATCTTAATATTATTGTTACTATGACCAAAAACTGAGACCACCACTGTATTAAATTAACATTAAACAGACATATTTTCTATAAATTCAAAAAATCAAATATATCATGTTGTCGAAACACTAACCAATAAATACATGAAAATAAGCAACAATATAAATGTTGAACAAACATTCTTCATATACACACTCATAAAAAAACCCAACAACTTTATTAAAAAGGAGCACACTTCCAGAATCAACAAAATGGAATGTAAAATTCTATAATAAATTTATTAACAATAAAAGCAAAATATTAATGAAACATAAAAGAGTTGTTCCACTAACCAGTATTTGTATTTCTTTTTTATCTATAATTCATCACCTTTAACAAAATTAACAGAGAAAAATAAATTGTTATATATTTTAGGTACTTTATAATTCAATGAAGTATATCATAAGCACCACTGAAATAATTATAAGTCACATTTTAAATAATGGCTGGAAATTAACACAAACTTAACTTTTCAAGGAATAATACACAAATCATTACTGTAAACATTTCTTTTTGTGGTCTTGCATTTAGTCTGACCAAACATTAACGTTTATAACATGGGGATCTTATATTTGTTGCTTGAGCTCAGTTGAAAGGTCAATATCTCACCATATTCATTAAACCATGCTAAACTTAAATGATGAACTTGCTTCCGTTTTGGAACAGGTCATTTAAAAACTAAAATATGTCCAGATGACACTAATGCCCACACTTCATTTGTCCCAGCAGAATATTTAAAGGTCAAGGGCAAAGTTCCTTGAAAGATTCACAACTCTGGCTTAATCCTTTTCAAATTATTGATAAGACAAGGATTTAATAGGTCACTGTGAACTTGACCTTTGACCTTAAAATCGATAAGGGTCATCTTACTGGCCATGGGCAATGTTCCTACCAAGTCTCATAAGCTACAGTTCATAACTTATCATGTAGTTGATTGGAAAAGGATTTTAATTTTTTTTTTTTTGGGGGGTTTTATGTCACATCGACACAGTATAGGTCATATCGCGACGTTCCAGCTTTACTGGTGGAGGAAGACCTCAGGTGCCCTTCCGTGCATTATTTCAGGCACGAACAGGTACCTGAGTAGAACCACCGATGTTTCGTAAGCTAGCTGGATAGCTTCCTCACATGAAAGAATCCAAAGTCCCTGTCGGGATTCGAACCCACAGCGGTGAGGGGCAAGTGGTTTGAAGTAAACGACCTTAACCACTCGGCCACGGACGCCCCTAGGATTTTAATTAGTATCACTATGATCTTTGACCTAAAAATCATTGGAAACATTCAACTGCCCAATGGCAATGTCCCTGCCAAGTTTCATTAAACCTAGCTAAGACTTTATTAAAATATTGATCGGGCAAGAAGACAACAAGATGTATATATGTATCACTCCATTACAGTATGATCCCTACTTTAGACAAGAGGGCCAAGATGGCCCTAGATCGCTCATCTGACCCATCAAACTCATTCGAGCAATTACCTAGACAAGCATCCTGACCAAGTTTCATGACAGTTGAGTCAAAAATGTGATCTCTAGAGTGTTAACAAGGTTTTTCCATATTTGAGCATTGTGACCTAATTTTGACCCCAGATGACCCATATTCGAACTTGACCTAGAAATCATCAAAAAAACTTTCAGACAAATTTCCAGGATATTTCGATCAAAACAGTAGCCACTTGAGTGTGAACAAGATTTTTCTATTTTTAGCTTCTGTGACCTAGTTTGATGATGATTGAGACAAAAATGTGACCGCTAGAGTGTTAATGGACATATGTGGACAGAGAATCAAAGATACTTAAAGCTCACACTAAGCAAGCTCAGGTGTGATTAAAAAAAGGCATTAAAATAAAAGATAGAATCAACCAGCCAACAGTGTAGAGTCTGGTCAGACTTTACAAATGTTCAAATATCTAAAAATATCTTAATTACTTCAGCAATTGCTTGTACTATCACTGACAAATGATTAGAAGATCTAAGCAATTCATTTCATAGTTTACATTTTATTAGTGTGTGTTAATTGGTCCACTTTTTAATAATACTATATAATGATAAAACATCACTCTTTTCAAATTAAAAAAGTTAAAAACTGATTCATTAACATTCTATTTATGGCCGATTTCAAATTATTTTTGTCAATAATATCAATATCAGATCAACAATTTAAATTATGCAGTAAGGATTTTATTACTATGCAAATGAAAAACATTTCTGTAGCAAACCATTTAAATAATTTCACAATAGATATACCATCAAAGTAGTATAAACAGTAAGTATTCCAGTAGAATCCGGAATAAACCAATCACCTCCAGATGGACAGATAGTTTACCTACATAAAACTGTTTCACATGTCCCTTGTGGGGTTTGCACATAAAGCAGATGTAAAAAACTTTATTTCAACAATTTTTATTGTGAACAGTTTGTATTGCTTACAACTGGTATATACACTAACATTTGATTTGTCCTTAACAAAGTAAGTTTAATTATTTTTTTCATTTACATATCTAAAACACGATTTTAAGGAGCAATACATTTTTGTAAGTTTTGAAATGGTAACAAATGTAATAAAATAAGAAAAAATAATGAATTAAAAAAGAATGAAATCAGTACCGTGACAAAAGAAAGTTGATACATCAGAGACAAACACAGACAGTATAACATATAAACAGCTTGTAATGTCAGAGTTAAATGATGTTGATATATTGCACTAGAACAGTTAGCACAGCAACCATAATTTTCCTAACTTTATAAATTAATGACACCTGCACAGGAACTGTTTAAATTCTAATTACACTGTTATAATTTATAAAATTTAAATCATCAATTACGGTAACTCAAGTTTCCTTTCAACTTTGATGTTAAAATAGTCATCGCCAGATAATAAAACAAGCACTGGAACATTATCTTAAGAAGTGTGAACATCAAATAACAGCATCTCCCAGCTGTAAGGGTATTAGTTCAATTAATTTAATTTAATTACGTACTGCATCATTCAGATTAACTATATACTACAGTAATGAAGGACAAACCCTATTTATTTGTAGCTTTCTTTAAAACAAAGATGATTATCAACACTTTAGAGACATAGTCAAATTAATCAGAATATTCATGTCCATTAAATTTTTAGCTAACTTTGACATTTTTCTTAAAATACATGTATGGGATTTTTTCCAATTTAAAATTATCTCAAAAATAATTTGGCATACGTTTATAACACCCATCAGTATCATAAAAAGACTTAAAACTCGTTTTGTATAGAGATCTTAGTTATATGTTAAAACTGTGATAAAGTTAGCTTGTATGTAAAATGCTGATGTCAGCACAATTAACATTCCCACTTGTTGAGAACACCATTGTTAAAGATGAGACACTGGGTGGGGTATGGCACATTCTGATCTCTCTGTGAAGGGTCCAAATCTGGTACATTTAAAATATCCTGAAAACCAAGGTATTATACATTTGTATTGTTACAAGATAACATTCTAGTATAATAACTAACAAAGCAATATAAACATACTTTTAAAATGATAGGGCCTCCTATGTCTTAAAGGCCCATTATGCCTCAGAAATGCTATCATTTTTATTTCTCAAAAACTTTTTATTTTTAACATTATGTCACAGTTCCAACATAATACTCATTTGTCATATACATGAAATGCTCCTTTAGCTCTGTTGGCAATGGATATAATTAGAGTGAATCAGTACAGAAGGCAAAATACTACTTTTTTTACATTTTACTACCTTTACAACACATTTCTGCACATTTAGCATAACTTTTTTCAGTTTTTAAACATCTAACATGCCTCATTTCATTATCAAAATGTTATAAAACATGTTTGTCAATTCTAAAGAATTATAACAGTATGTATTTGTGAGGCATAATGGGCCTTTAAAAGCAGCTTATACAGGTACTAAATTAATAAAGTATGTGCAAATCTGAAAGTTTTACCATATTTCATCAATTTGATCAGAGAAATTTATTGGTCTTACTTTATAATTATTATTTTAAAAAAATACATTATAAAGTATATCTTTAAAGATGTTATTCTACATAATCCTGGATAAATTTAAAATAAATTGTAAATACAATGAATATTTTACCTGGTATTGTGCAATGAAGTTTAACAATCTAAGGGACATTGTCCTGCTGGAATGTAGTAGTTTCTCCAAGCTGAAGTGTAAGTTGTTCATTGGTTATAATATAGTCAGTTTTATTTTAACAATTTTAGAAAGCTTGTTTGGACTGTTTAAAGTAACAACTATTATCATATAATTTGATAATAATCAGTAATATCTAAACATGCAAGTTCAAGAATTTATCAAGTGTTAAACAATAAAGTTAAACACTGTACAACAAACTTGCCCTCCTGTTCTTTTTTTATAAATTCTACTTTTAAAAATTGTATTAAAAATTTTGCAAATAAAAATCATTCACCATTTCCTTTTAACAGGTTAATACATGTACAATATTGTGATTGTGTGTAAATAGAGTTATCAGTTATTTATCCAGAAAAAAAATCTTCTATATTCTATACCTGTTTGAGTTAAATAATCCTTTGGAAACCACTTTATCACATATTTGTTTATTAATGTTTGGTTCAAAAAGAGGAATGCCAAAATAACAGTCCAGTAAACACCATTCATCCTCCACCAAACTCTCTGTCTCCTCTTTGAGATCTAAACTCTGTGGTTTTTCTGTTGGAACATCAGAGTTATCTCCCTTCTGAGTACTCTCCTGTTCCAATGAATCAATTTCTGATGCTAGCATAGCAGCAGACGTCTTATCTTTTAAACCGTTTAAAGGTTCATCTAAAAGGTTGTTCCCACTGTCAGAGGAATGTATACTGCCCGACAAGCTTCCGAATGGATTAGCATTGTTCATATTTAAATTAAATTCTTCTTCCTCCTCATCATGTTTAAATATAGTTCTTGATTCCCGTCCCGTGTTTAACAATGTTATATACCCACATAAATGTTCTAAGTCTAATTCTTTCTTTAATGATTGTATTGCACAGTGATTGTGAAAATGACTTTTTGCGAAACTCCCTGAAACATAAACAAAACCTAGCTGTGTGTATTTCAATCAATATCACTAAAGACATAAAATTTAAACAATGAGAAAGCAATGTGAAAAAGTCTAAGAAATATATATTTATTATGATAATATTAATAAACATGTAACTTCTTCATATTTATATATCATTAGTGCTTAAAATGTGAACCCTTTTTACAAAGATACTTCATAGGACTGGTGGTCTCTTATTAATATGTTCACTTGGAGGTTCTGCAACACAAAATATTATCATATTTCTTCTAAATTAAATTTCATCTTTTTTTTTAGGTGTTTGTTAAAATATATACAATTGCAATTTTATATTTAGAGCAGCAATGGTGAAGAACTATAATACTTCTCATTAATATTTCTGAAGTGTTTTGAATACAAACAAAGTGACTTACTGTAGGTACTTACTATCTATAAAATAACATATAATTGTCAATGTAAGCTAAATTTTACCTTGCTTGTGTTATAGGGTAGTACTTATAATTGTTGTTTTTCAATGTCAAATGCAAAATGGATTCAGTAAATCAACTAAATATTAGCATAAAGGGTCTAAGTTAGCTAATGGCTGGCAAAGCAGCCCTATGTCACTTGGTTTGTAACAGTGAATAAATATGGTGATAAAAATGATGATTTTACTTAAAATTTACATAGATTCCAAATACTTATGTGCTTCTTTATGTGTTTATATACTTTATGTGTTATATAATAATACTCTGAATCTTTAGAGAAAATCAAATATGCTAAACATAAATGTTTTATTACCTGTAGTAGTTTCAAGAGGAAATGGAACATGTACAGTCCTACCCTCTGACTGCCAACCATGTGCCTGAAATACAATAACATACATACAATATACTGTATACCTACATAACAAAAACTTACTATTTCTATAGGAAGCACTTGTTAGTTCTTCATGAATTTGTTTTAAAATAATAAAACTTGTATACTTAATCTCAGAGAAACAATACATAAAATAAATCAAAATAAATACTATCATGAAGGCAGGCAAAATAATTTTTGCATGATCCTGTTTATGCTTACTATAACTTAGTTCTTCATGGAAAAATAAGAAATGAATCTAGCTTTTACTAATAAAAGTGTAATTTAATTTGTATAGCTATTGAAATCATAGACAAGGCTGTTAATTATATTTGTAGGTGTTTTATTTTAGTATTAATATAAACCTGCACAAAGACAGCAGAGTGTGAGAGGGCATCATTTAAGGTCAGTAAAATGTTGCTGGTTGCTATGACACCAGGGTCATGACCCCATGTTGTTACCAGAAGGCGATCATATTCCTGAAAAACAAAATTATAATTTTTTTATGCTTAGGCTTAATATATAACTATGGTTTGTTTGAAGTCAACACTAGCATTTTTAAGATAGGCATTTAAGTATCCATTCCAATTTAAATCTGAATTGAACTTAAAGTAGTAAAGCTAAGACGTGTATAACAAACAGAAGAAGTATTTATTATCATATAATTAAAAGCAAATTGTATCACAAATGTTAAAGGAGCTACAATATTTTATATTATCAAATATGAATTAAATTCTCTGTATATTTCTATAGCTTCCTAGATACAAAGAATAAGAATTAGCAAATTGAATGTTAATTGGCAAAGGTTTCTCTGAAATTTATCTCAATTACAACAGAGACCAGCTTAAGTTTAACCTACCAGAAATATTTTTGGTATCCTTCGTAACTTTTTTCCTTTAACAAGTAACAGTGAGGGTGGACCAAACCCTGTTAGACTGTACATATACAACTTGAACCATACAGAGTTTACCTGTAAAGACCATATACATTAATGGAACCATGATTCAATGACAATATCTTATTTAGGTAGGATTTTATGTCACATGATAAACATGCCGGGTAATTTCCTTATATACATGTATATAAACAGTATAAAAAGTGCACATACATAAAAGAATTTAAATTCAAAGAGTAGAAGGGATAATGGCCCAAAGTCAGAGTCAGAGGTGTCAGCTACTCAACTCAGCGAACTTGGGTTTGTGCCCTGCTTTGGTCACAGTCATTTTTCCTCTTATGACACCAGTACTGGTTAGTTCCAGGTAATTGTCTTATGTATGGTTAAAATGAGCTCAAAGCTTTCTACATAATCAAGCTTCAATAAATAGAGGAAATTAAATGAGTGTAAATTCAATACTGAATTTATTGAACGAGTTGAATAAAGTTATATTATGTGAGCCTCTGGTGAGCATAATATTATTTCATTCAACCAGTTATTGAAATTACACGAGCATAATATTCTATTTATCACCTATCTAAAATAAAGAGTGTTTAAAGTGAAAAAGAAACATTTTTCAATGACGCGCCTATAGTGTAATGCTTACATTTAGCGCATCTTTACACTATGTTTGTACAATGTAAATGACATCACATCAAAATATATGCACAATCGTGCAATGCCGTTTTTACAGAGATGCAAAATCGGGACAAGTATGTGAAAAATAATGTTTCAAATAGTCACACACCAATACTGTCAATCAAAAAGGCTTTAAGTAATGAGAACTGAAGCACTTTACAGTTAAAACAACTTCTACCCATAATTTATTTGACTCACTGTGGTACAGGAAACAACTGCTATGAAATAGTTTAATCAGGATAGGGATCAGTGTTGTTGTTATTTAAATATACCTCTGGTATAGCAGGTCCTATATGTTGTGGGGTACAACTAGATACTGGTTGAATCTCATAACTCAGTGGTGCCATAGACACAAGCAAACTGAAAAACAAACAAGAATGTTGAACGACACATATACCCCCCTTTCTAGCCATTGACTCATATAATTGGTAATTTTATTACAGAAACTTGCCAAAAATGGGTACATGGAAGTGTTCAATTATGGAAAAATCAACAGAAACCATTTTGACATTTAAGGCCCATGTGACATTGACCTTTGACCTAATGACCCCTAAATCAATAGGAGTCATCTACTACTTATGACCAATAACTAAGTGAAATATGAAGACTTTGTGATGAATACTTTTCAAGATAATCAGCGGAAACCCTTTTGATATTTAAGGCCCCTGTGACCTTGACCTTTGACCTAGTGACCCCAAAATCAACAGGGGTCATCTACTAGTTATGGCAAATCACTATGTGAAATATGAAGACTTTGTGATAAATACTTTTCAAGATAATCAGCGGAAACCATTTTGACATTCAAGGCCCCTGTGACCTTGACCTTTGACCTAGTGACCCCAAAATCAATAGGGGTCATCTACTAGTTATGACCAATCACTATGCGAAATATGAAGACTTTGTGATACATACTTTTCAAGATAATCAGCGGAAACCATTTTGACATTTTAAGGTCCCTGTGACCTTTGACCTAGTGACCCCAAAATCAATAGGGGACATCTAGTAGTTATGACCAATCAATGTGTGAAATATGAAGACTTTGTGATACACACTTTTCAAGATAATCAGCGGAAACCATTTTGACATTTAAGGTCCCTGTGACCTTGACCTTTGACCTAGTGACCCCAAAATCAATAGGGGTCATCTACTAGTGATGATCAATCACTATGTGAAATATGAAGACTTTGAGATACATACTTTTCAAGATAATCAGCGGAAACCATTTTGATATTTAAGGTCCCTGTGACCTTGACCTTTGACCTAGTGACCCCAAAATCAATAGGGGTCATCTACTAGTTATGACCAATCACTATGTGAAATATGAAGACTTTGTGAAAAATACTTTTCAAGATAATCAGCGGAAACCATGTGGTCTACCGACTGACAGACCGACAGACAGACCGACATTAGCAAAACAATATACCCCCTCTTCTTCGAAGGGGGGCATAAATATATACCATAAAGTCTTCTGTTATGACTACATAATATTATAATCATCATCTTGAATATCAAATTTATAAGTATATAAATATGTGTAATAATTCAAAACAAGAGCACCGCATGCAGGGTTAATGATTTGAAGTTAAAAAGGGGCATAACTCCAAAAATACTGCTTTCAGAATTATGCCCCTTGTGTTACAACTGCATTTTTCACGATAAGAAATTATTCCAAAATTCATGTTGATATCTTTTTGAAGTTTTTGCATAACAACAACAACCATGACAACGATGACCCCGCAGAAAAGGTCGAGCTAAAAACTATTGCCTAATTAGCACTGGTACTAACCATTTGTAAACAAAGATTTGATCATGTCTCTGTGAAAATAACTATACAGGAAGTAAATATTGTTTATTTCTTTATGAAAGTATTGAAGATATTTAAGCTTTTACAAAGCTACAAAGTTATTAATATAATTTTCAAGTTAAGAAAGTACATATTGTAATTAACCTGTAATTTTTGTTTAGCACCCTGGATCTTGTGGAAGCATCAAGACTAAGTAAACTCTCACATCTTATCAGGTCAACAGCTGACCCAGTTTCATTCTCGGCACACAAGCTCTTGTTATAACGGAGAAATTTAACGGTATCTCTCAATAACAGAGCATGAACAAAATATCTCCTAGCCTCTCCTTCAGCTTCAAAACCAACCTAAGAATACATAGCAGTGCAACAGTTTAGTTAAGAGTGACAAACTATATACACTAATTTTTTTCAGACAATAATCAGTTTTTCAGCAAATATAATAGTAGAGTATTGAATTAATTGGTGCATTTTTAATCCTGTCATCAATTGCATGTTTGTAGTTACGTACTGGAGTATCTTTACCATATCTTTATGAGTTTTTAATTTCAACAAAAACACGATACCATGCTTGGATATGCAAGCACTAAGAAAAATACTGTTTTGTCTTAATTCCTACATTTGTGTATTGACATGCTGTGAATTAGGTCATGAGAAAACAATACAATTCAACAGCATTTGGTTTGTTATTTGTTAAAAACGTCTCATAAATCTATAACATTAAGCCATTTAATTAACCTTTAGCCTTCTGTAAGCAGCCTACACACTTGACCAGTGCATACCATGCAATATTAATAGCAATATGAAATTTGAAATTAAAGAACAGTCCACCTAGTCTTGATCAACCCTGTCCCAAAATATGGTCTGCCCTGTCCAAACATAAGACTAGCCCTGTCACACGGTCTGCCCTGTCTATATAATTCTATCAGATCATGGTCTGAACTGTTTGCTATTCAGTCATTACATATTTTTGAAATTTTCTCTAAAAATGGTGGTTTCCTCCAGATTGAGGTAGGGGTGTAACAATACAGCAAAAACCGTATTGCAATATATTGCCATTTTGCTGAAGCGTATTGCAATATATTGCAATACGTATTGTCGTGTATATGTTTTGATGTAAAGATGGAGTAACATTTATATATTATTATTATATGTATATATTTTTAGTAGAAACTTACTAAAAATGTAAGGAATAAATAGAAAGTAGTGTCACACAATTTGATAAACAAAACTAGTCGCGTGTAACCTTTCACATCTGGGCCGCTTATGTAAATTATGCGGCCGCTTATTGACTTTTAAGTGTACTAGTTGTCGGATACTTTTATCTTACGTTGGCGCCAACAAAATTTGCCAATTAAAGATTTTATGTGAAATTTGTACAAAATTAGAAGGCAATTAATTGAAAATTATGATTTTTATAAAATACCGGTTTTCCAAAAATCGTACCGCGGTTCGAAATTCATTTTTTCATATTGCAATATATCGGTATACCGGTAAACCGTTACACCCTTAGATTGAGGGATGTAAGATATGAGCATGGTAAGAGTTAATAGTGTGAAAGAATTAATCAATACCTTTTCAAGTTCAGACAGAAAGCTGTCTAAAGACTCATCACTCAACTTTCCCACCTCAAACATTGTTACAGCATGACTCTTTAGGCCCTAGAAATATACAACAAAACAAACTTCTGAACAATTATATCAATCTTTAAGTACATGTATATGTTTTCTCAAATAGTTATACCTGAAATTTTGTTAAATTCTATTCTGTTTCATTTTCACCTACTAAATTCAATCTAAGAAAAGCAAGGAATGCTGGTGATTCTATTATTTATGCAGAAAGCTATAAGGTTCTATATGTCCTACTCAAGCTTACTATCTTGACAAACTTTTACATGTGAATTATGAAGAAGCATTGCAATGCACAATTAGCGCCACAAAGACTCTGGATTGCCTGCCTGACAAGCCACGGAAGAAAAGGGAATAATGTTATCTATAATAGAAGTTGAATTTGAAGCTGAACTTATCCTTGGAGAGAAATGACTTAATAACTTACAGGTGATAAATTTCCCATCATGAGAAATGCAGTTAAAGTAGAATCAAACAGAAATGCAATTCTTTTAGTAGCACCAATTGAAACAGTATCTGAAATACAAAATCAAACCATATACTGTCACATCTGTCTATTTCATTACTACATTTTTATTAATGCTGGTTTTGGAGAAGAAAGTCCCAAGTTTGTTCAGCAAAATAACTGTAAAATCTACACATCTTAACATAACCAATAAATGTTTAACAAAATAATATAAGTTACAGGTTAAACAGTTAGTAAAACCCCAACATTAAATGGTGTAAAAATAAGATGTTAAGTTACCCATAGATGATTCTAAGTTGACTAGGTCAGAAACTACAGTAGGTTTAGTTAGAGAGGAAGGGCTGGGTGGGTTCTCATTCACATCTGCCAGGGCATCTCCCCAATCTATAATCAACTGTTCTTGTGTTACTCTGAAATAATGTTTTAAAATAACTAGAAATTTTATTCTGAAGTGATTAAGGCCTGATAAAAATTTAGTAAGTCGAACTTTTAATTATGAACGTTACCTGCAACAGATTCACAATGTTTCATTCATTTAATGTGGGTGATTTTACCAGGTGTCATGGAAAAAGAGTTAAAAGCACATTATGCCTCAGAAACTAAAGAAAATATTTCATTCTTTAGCTTTTGGGAAATAAAAGCATTTCTAGGGCATAATTGGCCTTTACAGTTGCTGTCTTTCACTTATTAGGCATAAAATAATATCACTGTGGGTTTATTTTCTTTACAAATCTTAGGCTATTTATATAGAAATATGACATTCCGACAGTGAAGATATAGCTCACTAGTCAATAATTGTTTATTATGCTTTTTATAGTAGCTGTATATTAGATTCTTTATTGACGAACTTGTTGTCAATAAAAAATTTGCATTAATATAAATTCATTATGCACACTGCTGACAAAAACATACTGGAGAACAAAAAAAGATATGTGGTTCCTTGTCACTTTTGTTTTAAACATGTGGCAAATTCATATACATATATATAAAGTAACTAACTTTTTATTTTGAGGTCGAAAATCTTTCCACGAAGGATGTAACTCCTCCTCGTTAACTTCTGATCCTTTCTTCTTAGCAAATCCAAGTCGACAATACATAGATACTGCCATCTGATATAGATATAACACTTTCATAACCTTCCATAAAAATAACATGTCAGAGCAACCCAAAATGTATAACCTACATGTAATGTAATGTTTATGAAATGTGAAATGTTTTGTTGAAATCCTGTACCTGTTGATAGTTGGAGAAATTAAATTACACTTGAAACAGAGTATAATGTGTGTCACAGATGTGTGTTTAATGCAATAAAAACATGAAACAAAGTTTCATCAATAATTTCAAAGACAATATTTTACTGTATTTAATATATTGAAATTTCAAACTTTGTATTGGTTTTACACCTCAAATATTTAACATTGACATTTAAAGAATATATTTTACAGTACCAACATACCTTCACAAGTTGTAAATCAATCTGTAACACATTAGAGAGCTGAAAAATAACAAATAAAAATAAAATTTCTAAAATATGTCAAGATTTATCTCGTAACTACAAGAAATATCAAAATCAGAAAACATTAGAAATGTGTACCGTATGTATTATTCTGGGATACATTTTGAAAGAAGGAAACTGATAATCTTACTTTTCTGTCTAATTTCATTTGCTTCTAAATCCAAAAACAACAACTGTTTTATTGATGAAATTAGGTTTTTAACAATGAAACCCAAAAAAGTTATTATTACCTCAGCAACAGTAGTATGTTCATCAATAGATACAAATATTTTATACAGTAATGTCTCAAAGTAATCCCCCAATACACGATTCATCACAAAGTTCTCTAGCGGTGGCACTGTAACAAAATCAAATGATACGAAAGGTAAAACTTTAGCTAACTTTAAAAATCAATCCGTTTTATCTTATTAAATTCAACTCTAATTTTTTAGGATCAGTAACATCAGCACTGACAAGATAATTTAACAACCTTCCAGACCTGAGGTACCCCTGTGTACATTATTTCAGACAATGAAAGGTAGTCAAGAACAACCAACTTTCCAAGAGATACTTGACCAGCTGCTGTTTTAAGAACCTACAATTATCAGTGACATGTTACTTGATGTACTCTATCACAATGGTCCTCTCAATATACATAATATGATATATGAACTTTAGATATAATCATTGTCTTGTAAGTAAACAAGGATTTATTTTTCATTGATTATAAATCTAGTAATAAATTTAGAAACAAAATTCATTTGTATGTTCACATTATATCTCTTTTTTATGACACCAAACAACGTCAACAGTTAATAAGAGTGACTATTAGATGTTGATGACAAAAGTTGTGATAATACTGAAAACATTCAGATACCAAATTAAGAAAACTTATATAAGGAATATGGACTTACATATGATAAAGTCATCATCCTGTATAGGAACATCCAAATATACAAGTCCCCGTCTATATAAACCTTTAAATATAAACACATCTTTTCACAGTTTAAGATGATTTTTTTAATTTCTTGAACATAAGGATATACAACTAGTTATCTGGCAGGATGCGAACCCACAGCTGTGAGGGGCAAGTGGTTTGAAATAAACAACCTTAACTACTCTGTTACCCACACCCATAATATCTTATGATGACCTACAAGCTCAACAATGGGAGAAGACCTAAGATGCACCCAGATACATTATTTTAGGCAAATGCAGGCATCTAACTTATCTAAGCAGAACCAAAGACCTGCATTATGATATCTGGATAACTTCTCAAAATTCATTGACTGGATTCAAACCTTTAGTGAGGGGCAAGTGATATAAAGTCCTAGACCTTAACAACTGTGCAACCAAGGTAATACTGGTAATAAATAAGGACATCCATACCTTATTATATACCTAACAACTTGTACACCTTTATAAAACAGGGCTTTTTTCTTCTATAGCATGGATAGTTTAAAGGCCTCTTTCTCTCTGTAAAATTCTTTAAAATCAAGCAGTATTCCTCTAAAAATTCAAAGTCTTTTCTTCTCCTTTTGTAAAAAAAAATGAGTTATTCTTTCCGAAATTAAAGGGAAGGGGCCCAATTCTCTACCTGTGAAAAAAGCCCTCTGAAACAAAATAAAAATATTCAAACTATTTTTACAAAGTACAGTAATAACCCAAAATGATCTTTGAGTCACTCTGGTGATTGTCATTAGATGTGGTAAACTTTTTTCAAGAAATCATTTCAATTTTTTCTTTAAATCAGACTCAAATTTACAGTTACATTTTAATGATATAAAATAAGCTGAGAGAAATACAAGGAGACATTGATGTACATACTGTGTAATAATTTATAGTTGAGCTCTCCAGCTGGTTGGGAACCAAGGTCAATGATCCTATCTATCATATTCTTCTCTGCTGTTGAACATAACTGAAAGAGATGAAACTTATTAATCAGTCTTACTTCACTACAAAACATGTATTGTTTTTATACACTTTCCATCCATATGGTTACTTAGTTGAATGGGTAAAATGCTCTGGAGTATTCAAAATTTCAAATAGATAAAAAAAATACCATAAAAATCTTTATTTTGTGAAATAAAAATGGATTTCAAAATTTTTAAATATTTTTAAATAAATTTTAACATTTTTACTAATGATTTACAGGTAAATTATGCAACAATCGCACAGAAAAACCTTAAATACTTGTATATTGTTAGACATAGCAGGTTATATATTTAACCACTTTCACAATAAGCAAATCCCTTCCAACTGAACTCATAGGCAGGAACTTTTTTATCTTCTTGTTTTATCTTCTTAGAGGTCATAAATATATATAAACCAAAAAGCCTTGACCATTTATTTATAATCCACCAATTAGAGACTTTGACCATTCATAACACATATGCATCAAAATCCATTCTTATTTCATCTTAGATACATGTATATTCTGAAATAAAAACACCTCAGTTCTATACTATAATATCATAATTATTGAAACAATAAGCCACCAATTAGAGAAATTTTATCATCAACTTACTCTGATATCATCCTCTGTTATAAATCCTATATTAGCCATCCACCATGGATCTATAGCCACTGTTTCTACAGGTTTTGTTGGGAGTAAATCTTTTGGAGGCTTCTTTCGAAAAAATTTCTGAAAGTTCAATTTATAAATTTGATACATTTTATAGTTAGAAAATTTTACTAATTCAAAGGCATTTAATCCTTTCAATGAATGGCCTGACTGTTTTATAACAAATAAATGAATAACCTGAAGAATGGAATATAGTACCCGAAACCGGTTGTTAGAATAAATACATAAACCGACCTGGTGTTTTATTGTGTTGTTCTCCCCTCCTTATCTTTTAATTTCACAAATAAATGAAGAATCTTGATGAATTTTATTTACACCAAAATGAAAATATTTACAATTATTTAATTTTACCTATGAAATATGGTGCTATATCAGTCAAATATATTTCATATTTTTTAAAAATAAATATGAAATATAAATATGAAAGTGGGCGGAGTCAAAACTCATATTTCTTTTAAGGGACTTCTTTCGCCATTTTGTTTGAAAAATCTGATAAATACAAACAACTTTTTTGTTGAATTTTATTTTGAAAACTATCTAGAATGATAGAAAATAGTCTAACTAAGAAAATAAATCCGAACACCAATATCTTTAATTCAGTCATTAACGCTGTACAGACGTTTAAAAAGTTGTTTACGTGACGTCACAATCTAGCGCTAAATATCGCGAGCAAAACAAGACGATACTTATATTACTGTGCGCTGTATAATTGCAGTTGCGTAGCAGGCAAGGGGGTTCATAACCATTTTTCTTTGATAATGAAATTAAATAAAAAGGTTATTTTTTCGTTTTTCGTGAAATATGGTATATATTTTCACTCAACATGATAAAATGCCTCATATTTTCACTCCCCGTCCCGGCTCGTGAAAATATGTGGCATTTTATCATATTTCGTGAAAATATATTCCACATTTCACTCAAACGAAAAAATATCCTCTTAGAATTTGATGGTATGGCTATTTTTATAAAGGTGAAATAAACCACAATTTTAAACATATTTATGTAAAAAAGAAAGTACAAAAATTCACAATTTTACCTTAGAGGATCTGCACTGATTCATTAAATCAATGTATTGGTTTCTACCAATCCCCAATAACCTAAGACCTGAAAAATATAAATGATAGCAATATTATTTTTTTTAAAATATACTTACTTACCAAATTTAGACAATGATTCCTCTGGAAGAAAACTGTTTTTGTCTCATTTAAAGGTTTCCAGCCAAAATTATTCTTTTCTCATTTAAATAGAATTTGAGATGCATATATTAAAATAATATCAAACATGTTAAAACTAGTGTATAACATTTCCTTACAAAAAAAACTTTTCTTTGGTATTTTCTGCCACTTCCAAGTGGTGATGTAGGAATATTCATAATCATTAATGGTATTATTTCAGATATAATATTTTATACTTACAATCTGCGGCAGTAAAGTTTGGTAATGAGTCATAGCTTCTCTCCTGTGACATTATGTCTGACATCATGTTGATGTAGTATATAAATGGTGTAACTCTCAGTCCCTTCACAACTACATCAGATAGATGATAGGGATATAGCATCAGATGATCCTGGCTGTATTGTAACAACTCCTCATAGTATCGCCTCTCATTATCCTTCCTTATAGTCTTTACTATAATGTATAAAATTGTACCCTTACAAGTGTATGAACTCTAATTTACAAAGTTCAGACTATCAATGACATGTTATTAAAATATCATTACTAGTAAGCAGTCATAGAGATACAATTTTTCAACTTTTCTAATGATCTTTGTACTTGTTTTCAAAAAAAAAATTACTTTTGAAGAACCTTCAATGTATCTTTTATTCCCCTTACAAAACAGTATACATAGTGATACATGCAGTTAGTTTAAACATTCATATAAATCAATATGGCCTTTTAAATTTTAGTAAATTAAGATTTTTAAGTCACAAATCATAATCAATTCTAAATAATTATCTTTAAAACAAATAAAACAGTCTTACCAAGATTTGTTTTAAATCTCAGTTGATTGTTTACACTAAACTGCACCACTGCCTTTTCATATTCCTTCTGTGAATTTCCTAGTATCTAACATATAAAAAGAAGCTTAACTAACATATAAAAAGAAGCTTAACTGGATAGGAAAAGCAAAAACTAACACATTTCTGATATTATCAAATAAGATAAAATAAAATCATAGTATCTAGGCAAAGAGAAATCACAGGCATTCTAAAAGTCTAAGATGAAAAGCTTAATACTCAAAGTCATTTTCTTTCATAAATGTAAACTGCTGCATTTTAATGAACTTATAATAAACATTCATGTATCTAAATTTTTGGTATAGAAATGTTTTCAATGATAAGCATTTTCACAGAAGTTTTCCAGAGATTGTATTGTAACACAGTTTGTTAATGTTATAAGCAGTTCCAAATCTAAGGCTATCAGAACCAGATATGCCTGTATTTTTTTCTTTAATAAAAGAATTATGGTGGTTTCGTCGAACTACCGGTTCGGCTAACTTAATTTATGAAGAGGTGCGAAAGTGGTTTCGTCTAACTGATGTTATATAGTAATTAAAGGCAAAGTCGACGTGGTTCATATATATAGTGTTTTTATCATCAATATTTTGAATTGATATATTTTGATATCTATTTCTAAATAAAAAATAAAATTTTTATGTTTTTTTTTCACGTATTATTCATCAAATACGGAAAATGAAATTAAAAGGAAATTATTTTTGAAATCATTGACGTTGTATGTTTACTAAATCAACTTTACATATATTCCGACATTATTCATTACAGGATGGCACAGAAGGATCAACACACGAGCAGGGCGTCTACATCGTAAAAGATACGCCCGAATCCATGGAGCCTTATTCGACGCCTGGGACAAGTACGAAGATGATGAGATGACTACTTCCCAACTACTGAGACTGTGCAGCCACATTACCGGAATAGGATGCAACAACATCAACGACGGGATTTATGAGGACGATTTTTAAGTGTTATATATAAAAAGTGATGAATAAAGAATAAAAAAATATTGTTGAATACTACGTAAAAGCCATGGTGTATACTCTGTAAAACTATGCATGCTTATAAAGAGATGAATAAAGAATTAAAAAAATATGCTATTATTATTATTATTACTACAAAATAATGGTATAAATTTTATTCCAATAACAACATTGTTCCTTCTTTTACTATTTGTGAATATAGGTTGACATTAGTAAAAATATATTTTACAGGTTTCACTAAATGTGTATATATTTGTGTAAATTTTATAAATTATTCTTTTTTTCAGGTTTTACTTTCGTATATACGTATATATATTTATTTATGCATATGTAAATATAATAAAAACGTTTAAATCATAGTTATATATCTATTGAGAGGTGAATAAAGAATTAAAACAGATTGTTGTTTATTACATAGAAATCATGATGTATTCTTTTGAATATATATTTCGATGATGTTGTTTGTTCACTGAGATCTTGTGTTATTATTTTAATATGTAAATATCATTATCATACTAAAGAAAAGAATAAATAATATGTTTAAATTTTCAATATCTTGCCTTTAATTGCATGAAAATGTGTGATAAACCACACATTAAGACCCGCGGTAATTGATGTGCCCATTATACAATAGCTATTATTCACTATATAAAATTAAGTTAGCCGAAACCACTACCTGTTTTACTATATAAGATCAGTTAGACGAACCGGTAGTTAGACGAAAGCACTCCCACCCAAAGAAAGAATAGCCTATAGTCTGCTAGTTCTGAAACTGTCAATGGGTGTATTAAAAGCTTGATTATTTCTTGGGTCTGCTAAACTAGATTCTACCCAAGTATTGCTTTAAAAAAAACATTTAACTTTTTGATAGACTGGAAGTGGGGTAAAATGTTATAAATACAGAGTCACAACTGTGAATGTGACATAGCTAACAGTAGATACAATTCATAGAGACCCTGACCCTTGCTCCACCATTATAAACTTTCAACATGAGGCATTTTCCTCATCCATAATAGGATGTTTGGCATCACAGGTCTTTATTATTTCTTTTATTATTATTATTTTTTTATAATTGTCATGTGAATTCAAATCAAGCTTTAAAGCTTCCTTAAGGAAGAAAGTAGGATGTTCCGGTTAAATTTGACCAACCTGTTTGACGTTGGCAGGAAGTTTAGACCATGAATGATTTTGCCTAATGTGGTTTTCAACGTCTGCATTCATTTTGATTTAAATAAAAGCAATTTCAATGTATGTCAGTTGCTTTTTCTAATTGTTTGAGTAAACTTTTGGCCCTCCCCTGCCTTTTTCTGCCATGTTGGATATTTCAGACCGAGGCTGTCAAACTGTACAATGTTAAAACCGCAGCTATTGGTTCATTAAAAACTACCTGACCGAATTCGACCAATGAACACATTCCTATCATAATTTATATGGTAGCAAGTTGTTGACAAATGGCGACAGTATTTTTTCTTTGAGGAAACTGTGATATATAGTCAGGAACAGCCTATTGTAGAAAGAAGTTAATATCTTTACTTATTAAAAACTTTGTTTAATTGACCATTACGATTTAAGCGTAATATTCTATGTTTTTGTCGAACAACAGCATTATGTCCGTCTTTATCCCCTAATTTCGCGACGCAAATATTTGCTACACTTTAGAATCTGTTCCCAGCAATATTTCGGTTTAATATGAAGAAGGCAAAGCCTGAAAGCGAGCTCGTTTTAATTTTACCATGAAAGAGTATTAAATAATCGTTCATTATTATTTTCCATTTTAAAATTGTCATTTGGTATTTTATACACTGCTTCCGTTTATTCTTGTTCCCTGTCCTATTATGGTTCCCATATAATTTCGCAGGACACCAGTCTACGCTTCCATTTTCAATTAGAACACCTCGGATTTTATCGTTATCTTGTAATTCGAAAAGTCGCGATGTGTCAATTTGGTATATCGGACGAAAGTTTTCAAAACCATCATATCTAGCAGCAGGGTCTTTCAAATATTTGAAAGACCCTGCTAGCAGGTACTTGCGTTACTGTAAAGCTCGCTTTGCGAGCAGGCCCTTCGGGCCAGCTCTTCAAGCTCACTATAAAGGTTAGTTATGACTGCAAAACATGGATTTTGATGTGGACAGATTCTTATGCTCCCAAATATGAATCAGGGTCAGCTCGGCCCTAAAAACCACTCAGGCTCCTGAATCAGCTCGGTCCTATTCCAACTCGGCATGGGTCAACTCGGCCCGCTTTTCAATTTTTAGCTCGACTATTCGAAGAATATGAGAGCTATTGTAGTCGCCCCGGCGTCGGCGTCTGCGTTGGTTAAAGTTTTTTGTAAAGTCAAATATCTCAATTATTACTTTAGATTTTCAATTGAAACTTACAATACTTATTTATAGTAACAAGGTACATCAAACTGACAATTTGGATAACTCTGCCTACAATATTGACAGAATTATACCCCTTTTTAACTTAGAAATTTTGGTTAAAGTTTTTTGTAAAGTCAAATATCTCAATTATTACTTGAGATATTCAATTGAAACTTACAATACATATTTATAGTAACAAGGTACATCAGATTGACAAGTTGGATAACTCTGCCTACAATATTTACAGAATTATGCCCCTTTTTAACTTAGAACTCTTGGTTAAAGTTTTTTTGTAAATTCAAATATCTCAATTATTGCTTGAGATATTCAATTGAAATTTAAAATACTTTTTTATAGTTACAATGTACATCAGTTTGCAAAATTGCACAACTCTGCCTGCAATATTTGCAGAATTATTTGCCCCTTTGAAACTTAGAAATTTTGGTTAAAGGTTAAAGGTCTTCAAAGATATTTACTTGAAACTTTACACATGCACTTAGGGTCATAATCGGAGGGTCATACTATCAAGCACATAGAATAGTCGAGCGTGCTGTCCTACTGACAGCTCTTGTTTAATATATTGGTTTGTTTTTTCACTCTTTATTGTTAGAACCACATAATTAATATATGGACTGATTTTCTTATGTGGAAAGATGTTTTCATAATTAGCTCACCAGAGCCGAAGACTCAGGGTGAGCTATTAGTATCGAAGGGGATGCGTCCTGCATCAACAATTGTCTTCTCTGAAACTACTAAGCAGATTTACTTCAAATTTTGTCTGTAGCATCCTGTCATTCCAATTGACCCCTTTTAGGGGTCAGCAGAGCTAAAAATAGAAACCCCTTTAAACATAACCCGTCTATTTCTACAGAACTAAAGGACGGATGATCACCAAACTTTGTCTGTAGCATTCTTAGGCAGTGTTTAATCAAGTTTGCTAATATTATTTTGATTGGCCCCTTTTAGGGGTCTCGAGGGCTAAAAAAAGAAAAACCTTTAAACATCTTCTATTACAGAACTAATGGGTGGATGATCACCAAACTATGTCTGTAGCATTCTTTGGTAGTCCTTAATCAAGTTTGCTCATATTAATTTGATGGGCCCCTTTTAGGGGTCTCTAGGGCTAAAAATAGAAAAATCTTTAAACATCTTCTCCTACAGAACTAATTGATGGATTATCACCAAACTTTGTCTATAGCATTCTTGGGTAGTGTTTTATCAAGTTTGCTGATATTAATTTGATGGGCCCCTTTTAGGGGCCACTAAAGCTAAAAATAGAAATACTGTTTAATGTCTATCTCTATAGAACTAATTGATGGATGATCACCAAACTTTGTCTCTAGCATTCTTTGGTAGTCTTTTATCAAGTTTGCTCATATTAATTTGATTAGTCCCTTTTAGGGGTCTCTATAGCGAAAAATAGAAAAACCTTTAGATATCTTCTCCTACAGAACTAATTGATGGCTGATCACCAAATTTTGTCTGTAGCATTCTTTGGTAGTCTTTTATCAAGTTTGCTCATATGAATTTGATAGGCCCCTTTTTAGGGCCCCTTAAGCTAAAAATAGAAATACCTTTAAATGCCTATTTCTACAGAACTAAAGCATCGAACATCATTTCCTACTGAAATAATTGAGAGATGATCACCAAACTTTGTAGCATTCTTAGGTAGTCTTTTATCAAGTTTGCTCATATTAATTTGATAAGCTCCGTTTAAGCTAAAGCTTAAATGCCCTAAGTCATGGCATTTCTTCAAATTATTGTTTAAACACATTCTATGCTCAAATTTAATATTATAATATATTGACATTCCAACACTGAAAAGCAGTTGTTTCTGGTGAGCGACTCATGGCCATCATGGCCCTCTTGTTTTTATTACATTTAATTGGTAATGAGAGTTTTCAATGATTTGGGTAATAAAAACTTATTATAATCCATCCTTGTGACATTGCAAAATACATTGAATGTTAATAAATCAGAGCAACAGATAAGGTGCGTATTTGCGTATTTACGCAATTAATTTTATAAATTACGCAATTGATATTTTAAGAATGCGTATCAAAACGCATTAAAAAAAATAAAATACGCAATTGTCTTAAAAACCCGTGCGTATTGTTATTTTCATCACCGCAAAATTAATCTGTCGTACGCTCGTAGTTTTGGACAAATTATATCGATATGCATGCTATCCGAATATTCCCGAATCAATGCTAACTAATCAACGGTCTCCGGTCTTCGACGGTCCCCGGTCTCCAAAGACCAACTAAGTCATATCAATAAAGCATGACACCGTCGTGTCTACTCAGGTCGACGGTCTTTACAGACCAGCAGAGACCGTTGATTTTGCGGAGACCGTCAATGAGTATGTCCCACCTGTATTAATAGACGCTTTGAAAGAAATAAGGGAAAATGATTTGAAACAAAACATTTGTAAATAATCAAAAATCAGTCAGAAAACGAACTTGTTACAAATATTATGAAATATAACATGAGCATTTTATATAAGAAATAAAACAATTGTGAAAAGTTCTAGAAAATTGTTAATCCTATTTTCTTTTTAAAACAGTTCAAATTTTATTGATATTGAAACCATAAAATTAATATTTTCATAATTGAATACCCAATTAATCTTGAAATCATAGGGTATCGAGTTTTGGAATACCCAATTAAATGGAGCCAAAACCCAATTCCAAAGGAAATGATGGAGTAATACCCAATTCACTTTTAAAGCTTATCTGTTGCTCTGAATAAATGCATTACATGTTGTTTTATGTATATAAGATTAAGGACATTAAAAATATTTTATATAATAAGTAAACACGTTGTTATTTCATATTTTATTGAAGATTAATTTACAAACAAAAAGCATCAAAGGGAACTAACAAATCTGCAAGAAGGAACAAAATGAATTTCTTATTCTACAAAAGTACAATGTACAGTTATATATTAATATACCAGATATCTCTTATTGTCCATTTGAAACAACTTGCCTTGATAGCATGCAAGTACAGTAATAAAAAAGTTAATAGGTTTATTTTAATATATTTTTTTTTATTTCAAAAGCGGGCTGAGTAGACCCGTGCCGAGTTGGTATAGGGCCTAGTTGACTCTTTACCCCCAAATATTATTATGTGCTTCCGTTAGTTCATGGTACTTAACACTTGAAACAAGAAGGAAATCAAACAATGAAATTACTGTTTAAAAAGTTGTCATAAGTTGTATGACACAAGGAAACAACAACATATTCTATCAAAACTAGATTTAATAGTCAAGACAAAGATCATAGGTCAGTCATTTTAAAAACAGTGTGTTATCATTTAAATCAGGATAAATGGTGATACACGCTTTTTTTTAGCTCACCTGAGCATATGCTCAGGGTGAGCTATTAGGATCACTCTTCGTCTGTTGTCCGTCGTATGTCGTCCGTTGTCCGTTCACACTTTTAAAACGACATCTCCTCTGAAACCATAAGGCAGATCATAATGAAACTTCACAGGGATGTTCCTTGTGTGAAGCCTTAACAAAGTTGTTCAAAGAATTCCATTCCATGCAGAACTCTGGTTGCCATGGCAACCAAAAGAAAAAACTTTAAATATCTTCTTCTAAAAAAACCCAAAGAGCTAGAGCTTAGATATTTGGCATGAAACATCTTTTAGTGAGTGTCTACCAAGTTTGTTCAAATAAAAGCCCTGGGGTCAAAATTGGCCCCGCCCCAGGGGGTCATTGATTTTCCCTATATGTATATAGTAAAAACTTAAAAAATCTTCTTTTAAAGAACCCAAAGAGCTAGAGCTAAGATATTTAGCATGAAACATGTTCTAATGGATGTCTACCAAGTTTGTTCAAATAAGAGCCCTGGGGTCAAAATTGGCCCTGTCCTGGGGGACATTGATTTTCCTTACACGTGTATAGCAAAAACTTAAAAATCTTCTTCGAAAAAACCCGAATAGCTAGAGTGTAGATATATAGCATGAAACATCTTCTAGTAAGTGCCTACAAAGATTGTTCAAATAAAAGCCCTGGGGTCAAAACTTGCCCTGCCCCAGGGGTGTCATTGTTTTTAAATATATGTGTAAAGAAAATACTTAAACAAGAAACATGGCAATGCCATGAAACCAGGTTTTCAATTATCACCATTGTAGATAAATATGTTGTATTTGAGATACAAATACAAGCAACAAACAATGTAACTATGTGCAATGTAAAACATGAATAATGTAGGAGGAATTGCCGCTGAAGAAGTCTTCACTATATATTCTGTATAAGGAAAAAAACAAAGGGCCATAATTAGGTCAAAAATTATCCAATCACAAAACCCCGACAATATGTGCCAGGGCGCTTGGTGACAAAGCTTCTGTGAAAGTTTGAACAAAATCCGTTGAGAAATGTAGGATGAGTTCAGCACAGAAGAATTTGTTCACTATACATGTATATTGATAGTTCTGTATAAGGAAAAAAAACAAAGGGCCATAATTAGGTCAAATATTATCCAATCACAAAACCCAGACAATATGCGCCAGGGCACTTGATAACAAAGCTTCTGTGAAAGTTTGGTCAAAATCCTTCGAGAAATGTAGGAGAAGTTGGACTCGATAGAAATTGTTCACTATATATTCTGTATAAGGAAAAAAAAAGGGCCATAATTAGGTCAAATATTATCCAATCACAAAACCCTGACAATATGCGCCAGGGCACATGATGACAAAGCTTCTGTAAAAGTTTGAACAAAATCCCTTGAGAATTGTAGAGGGAGTTCAGCACAGAAGAAATTGTTCACTATATATTCTATATAAGGAAAAAAACAAAGGGCAATAATTAGGTCAAATATTATCCAATCCCAAAACCCCGACAATACGCCCCAGGGCACTTGGTGACAAAGGTTCTGTGAAAGTTTGGTCAAAATCCGTGGAGTAATGTAGGAGGAGTTGTGCACAGAAGAAATTGTTCACCATATATTCTTTATAAGGAAAAAAAACAAAGGGCCATAATTAGGTCAAATATTATCCAATCGCAAAACCCCGACAATATGCCCCAGGGCACTTGATGACAAAGCTTCTGTGAAAGTTTGGTCAAAATCCGTTGAGAATTGTAAAAGGAGTTGCGCACAGAAGAAATTGTTCACTATATATTCTATATAAGGAAAAAAAAACAAAGGGCCATAATTAGGTCAAATATTATCCAATCGCAAAACCCCGACAATATGCGCCAGGGCACTTGATGACAAAGCTTCTGTGAAAGTTTGGTCAAAATCCGTTGAGAAATGTAGAAGGAGTTGCGCACAGAAAAATTGTTTACGCCCGCCCGCCCGCCCATCCGCCCGCCCGCCGACATACCTCAATCTAATAACCAGTTTTTTCCTTCGGAAAACCTGGTTAAAAACTTCTTTTAAAAAATCCAACGAGCTAGACCTTTGATGTCTAGCATGAAACATCTTCTAATGGGTGTCTAGCAAGTTTGTTCAAATAAAAGCCATGGGGTTTAAACTGGCCCCGCTCCGGGGGGCCTATATACAGGTGAGCGACTTCAGGGCCATCATGGCCCTCTTGTTTTTTGCATGGTTCAGTTAAATTTGTAAATGATAATATGAAATTAGGTGAAGCCTATGAACAGGGAAATAGGTTAAAGTAATTGTTCATTTTTAGCTCACCTGAGCATATGCTCAGGGTGAGCTATTAGGGTCACTCTTCGTCCGTCGTCTGTCGTCCGTCGTACATCGTCCGTCGTCCGTTCACACTTTTAAAACGACATCTCCTCTGAAACCATAAGGCAGATCATAATGAAACTTCACAGGGATGTTCCTTGTGTGAAGCCTTAACAAAGTTGTTCAAAGAATTCCATTCCATGCAGAACTCTGGTTGCCATGGCAACCAAAAGAAAAAACTTTAAATATATTCTTCTAAAAAAACCAAAGAGCTAGAGCTTAGATATTTGGCATGAAACATCTTCTAGTGAGTGTCTACCAAGTTTGTTCAAATAAAAGCCCTGGGGTCAAAATTGGCCCCGCCCCAGGGGTTCATTGATTTTCCCTATATGCATATAGTAAAAACTTAAAAAATCTTCTTTTAAGAACCCAAAGAGCTAGAGCTAAGATATTTAGCATGAAACATCTTCTAATGGGTGTCTACCAAGTTTGTTCAAATAAAAGCCCTGGGGTCAAAATTGGCCCCGCCCCAGGGGGTCATTGATTTTCCCTATATGCATATAGTAAAAACTTAAAAAATTTTCCTTTAAAGAATTCAAAGGGCTAGAGCTAAGATATTTAGCATGAAACATGTTCTAATGAATGTCTACCAAGTTCGTTCAAATAAGAGCCCTGGGGTTAAAATTGGCCCTGCCCCGGGAGGTCATTCATTTTCCTTATATGTTTATAACAAAAACTTAAAAGATCTTTTTTGAAAAAAAAACAAAACAAATAGCTAGAGTTTAGAAACTAAGCATGAAACATCTTCTAGTGAGTGTCTACCAAGTTTGTTCAAATAAAAGCCCTGGGGTCAAAATTGGCCGCACTGGGTGTCATTGATTTTCCTTATATGTGTATGGCAAAAACTTACAAAATCTTCTTTGAAAAAACTCAAATAGCTAGAGTTTAGATATTAAGCACGAAGCATCTTCTGGTGAGTGTCTACAAAGTTTGTTCAAATAAAAGCCCTGGGGTCAAAATTGGCCCCGCCCCAGGGGACATTGATTTTCCTTATATGTGTATAGCAAAAACTTAAAAATCTTCTTTGAAAAAACCTGAATAGCTAGAGTTCAGATATTAAGCATGAAACATTGTTTAGTAAGTGTCTACAAAGATTGTTCAAATAAAAGCCCTGGGGTCAAAACTGGCCCTGCCCCAGGTGTGTCATTGTTAGCTCGACTATTCGATAAGAATAAGTAGAGCTATTGTAGTACCCCGAGCGTAGGCGTCGGCGTAACCACTTATGTTAAAGTTTTTGTAATAGTTCAAATATTTTCAAAGTCCATGGACATATGGCTTTGAAACTTTGCACACTTGTTCACCATCATGGCCCCAACCTGTAGACAGGAGGAGGTAACTCTATCAAGCATTTTGACAGAATTATGCCCCTTTTTTACTTAGAATTTATGTTAAAGTATTTGTAACACCTCAAATATTTCCAAAGTGCATTGACAAATGGCTTTGAAACTTGGCACACTTGTTCACCATCATGACCCCAACCTGTATACAGGAGGAGGTAACTGTATCAAGCATTTTGACAGAGTTATGCCCCTTTTTCAACTTAGAATTTACATTTAAGTTTTTGTAATAGTTCAAATATTTTCAAAGTCCATTGACATATGGCTTTGAAACTTTGCACACTTGTTCACCATCATGACCCCAACCTGTAGACAAGAGGAGGTAACTATATCAATCATTTTGACAGAATTATGCCCCTTTTTGGACTTAGAATTTACGTTAAAGTTTTTGTAATAGTTCAAAATATTTTCAAAGTCCATTGACATATGGCTTTGAAACTTCGCACACTTGTTCACCATCATGACCCCAACCTGTAAACAGGAGGAGGTAACTATATCAAGCATGTTTTTTTACTATCAAGCACTAAGAATAGTCAAGCGTTGCTGTCCTACCGACAGCTCTTGTTTTTAACTATATGTGTAGAGAAAAAAACTTGAAAAAATCTTCTTTTAAAAAAACCCAACAAGCCAGACCTTAGATGTCTAGCATGAAACATCTTCTAATGGGTGTCTACCAAGTTTGTTCAAATAAAAGCCCTGTGGTTTAAACTGGCCCCGCTCCGGGGGCCAACATGTATATACAGGTGAGCGACTTTAGGGCCATCATGGACCTCTTGTTTATTTAAAATTTTCTGTTTTAAAGATGTCATTTGGTATTTCATGCACCGGTTCCTTTTTCACTCAGAACACCTTGATGATTAATATTGAGCCAAAAGGTTGCGATTGTTCCATTATCAGAATACCCTGTCTGTTATCATTGAGATACATTGAAAGTGATGGTGCCCAACTAGATATGAAACTGAAAATTTCACTGATAGGTATAGAAAATGATATATTTTTTAATTGTTTTATGTTTGATTTCCTTTTAGATATATACAAATAGTCTATAGCCAGGCAAGCCAAAGTCTGGGCCCACTTCGCAGTCCCTGTCTTTGACTTCCCAGTATAATTTTCTCAATTTTGAATATACAATGTATCTTTACTTTGTTGTTGATAGTTTTTAACTGATTTAACAAGAAAAATAAAAAAACAAACATATTTCAGCTCATGGAGTCTTTAATAGTGGTCTCTGCAGTACTACAATACAAACTTATAATCTTCACCTCATGGTAAACTCTAATTTGGAATTCATTTTAAATATGCTGTAGTGTTAAATTTGTAATACTAAGTGTCACACAAGGAACTTAGTAGTGACCCAGCTAATGTTCAGGATCAAAAGGCATACACAAAATTTCCCTCTGCATCTGCTCCCTAGTGTAGCAGAAAGCAATTTTTAGATAATGTATCACTAATATCATTGTAGAATCATAGTTTTACAATCAAAATATTGCATTTATTTTGCAGGATTTGTCTTAAACAAAATGGGAGAGTTACAAGGAGATATGTTGACAGATGATAATACAAATGTATTACATCAAACCTTCAAACAGTATGACAGACTTGGTAAAGGAGAATTAGCTCCTCATGAAATACAAAGTTTACATGGTGACATCAGAATGGGTGGTATTAGCTATCCACAGGTAAAAGTAACATTAATTGTTTGTTTATTTCTGCCTTAGTACCTTAGTTAATATATACTAGAAGTATGTACTAACATTGACAATGACTGTTATATTGCTACTGTAAATAAAATCTTATGTATTGTATAAATTATATAATTAGCTCACACTATAAAATGAAATTATAGATTTAAATAAATTATAAATGTTAATATTATTAATCTTCATGTATATAATTTATACAAGAACCCTTTTTAATAAAATTGCATTTAAAAGTATACAACTGAACAGGAATGAATTCATTCTAAGGTTTTTTATATAAGAATACTGTTTTGATGTTTTTATACAGGTTCTTGCCAGTATGAAGTATGTTTGTGCTACACATGATACATGCACTGAGGATGAACTGTTTAACCTCCTACAGGAAATGGACCGCAGGTTCTTCTTGCTGCAAGATCTCCGCTGGGAATTTTCCTTGTTGGATCGGGATCAGCGTGACACTATAACCATTGAACAGGCTAGGTTTGTCTGTTCCTATAAAGCATAATAATTAAAGCATACAATTTATAATAAAGTACAACCTCTACAGATCAATCACCTCTTTACAACAAGAGTGTGTCTTGTGTCTTGTATGAATTCTTATTGATGCAACATATTTAATTAAATACATGTACCCCTACATTAGCAATGTGTGTTTTGTTTAATTTGTAAGTTATAATAGTAAATAAAAAATGATGGTAATTATATAGATGGAAGGGTTTTTATCTAACTGTTTTGTTTCCAACAGTTGTGATTCATTTACTAACTGTAACATGAAAATGGGTTAAAATTTGTGTATAACTGCATTTATACCAATGGCTATTCTGTGTTGGAATTAAATTTGGTTAGATTTTTTCAAATCATTTGCTTGGTTCAATTAACTTTCTAAATGCTAATTAATTTAAAGAAATCTTAAACTTCTTGTTTTTATACTGATCCTTCAGAAGCATTGATTTTAATAGTTAAGTGTTAGGGATTACTTCTACTTAATTTTATGAGAGGTATTGCACTTTCCATTTTATCTTATGAACAGACTCAATTAAACCAAGTCTGCAATTTTCACCCACCTGTTTTTGGTTCCATTGCTCTCGGGGATCTCCCTTTACTAAATTCTAATTCTTTGTTATTTCACAAGGTGGATGGTGCAAGCTGTTCATGGAAAGAATTTTTCGAAGAGAAAATGGGCAGACTTTTTACGCAAGCGAGCCATTCCTGGTACAAGGGTAGCATTTCAGGAGATTGAGGTACTGCTGTGCAATGTGAAGAGCAGTTTAGATGTTCTCAAAGATAGAGAAGATGAGGAGAGAGAAAGGAGAGGTAAATATCCTCATATTTTATTATCTGAACAGGTGATGCTCAGACATGTATACCGGTATATGATTTTGAAGAATGAGGTTTTTTATCAAAAGTTAATACATATCCTGGTATGTTTTTTAAATGTAATAACTGTAACAATAATTTAAGATATTAAAAAAATGTAGAAACTAATTAATTTTAATTCTTTTGACTTTATTTTGAAGTTGGGTTTCTTTTATTTACATTATCAAAATGATGAAAAATATTATGTTTTAAGATAGGAAGTTTACAGGTAATCATCAAAACAATAGGTCTATGATCATGTTTTAAACAGGATTGAATTAATAAGAAATCATATTAAAAAAAATTAACATATGTTAAGAGTAGAGGGTTCACTGAGGTACAAAACTTAAAGCCAAATATTCTTTTCTTTATCAACTGGGACACTTAAAACAGAAATATAGACTTAAAGTAATGAAAATTGAAATGTATTCAGAATGATATTAGAAATGGATTTTTGTGCATTGTTAAGCGTGATTTGTGAGAAAGGCATTTAAAATCTTTTTTTTTGGGGTGATTTGGCACAATTAAAATGTTTGCTCTTGAAAAACTAGTGAGCAAATGATCTGAAATTTTGCATACAAATTATTGTTCTAGACATTCATCAAAAGGTACAGAAATCTAGAAAAATTATTTCTGTTTTGTCAATAAACATTAGTGAAGTCCCTTTCATAGAGTTAATCTTGTTAATCAATAAATAAAAGTGATAACTACTCTGAGTGTTATGAATTCTAAAGAAATGTAAATTGTGAAATGTCATTGGAATACTTTAACTTAATATCATTTTGTTGATATATGTTTGGCTGAATATTTCAGAAGGCAAAATACCCAGTCGGTCAGGTAAACTGGTTCGCAAATAATGTTCAATACACTTCTCTTTTTCCTCTTCTTGTTTTACAGAGCATTTTTTGTTTCTATAAATGATTAAGAAATTAAACACATCCTAACTTTTCAATGTTTCTTATATATATTGTTATGTACATATATTATATCAGTCATTATAACATTTGTTAATAATTCATCAATTCATCAGTAACTTAAACATCTAAATGTTTGCTCTTTTTTGTATTTGTTACTATGTTGTTAAGTCAGTTATAAATGTCAATGTCATTCACATTTATTTTGAGGTGTTGAAATATTGAAAAATTTCCATTCTATATAATAGATGATACACATTGGTGTACATACTGACTGATTCTAGAAAATTTGTTTTGAAAAGGCAGACATTTGCCCCCCTGAAATTTTTGAAGGGTGGACATTTGCCCCCCTGTATTGAAAAATTTGAAAGGTTGGGGGGTGCGAATCAAATGTCTGTTTTCAGAATTGAGCAGATTGTCCCTGTTGTTCTCATGAATTTTAACGTGTGGGTTACCATTAAAGCTTAATCAGAAAAGCATTATGTCTCAGGATCATATAATTATTTGGTCAAGACATCTGTTTTTCATGACAATATTGAAGTAAAAGTGAACATATAAAAATAAAATGGTAGATAATAATTAAGTCATTGTCAGTGTATGATTCAACAGTAGTTAGGTAACTGGTAAGATTAAGATGACTGAAATATTAGATTTATAATTGACATTGACATCAAGCTAAATTGTTCAAATATTGAATGTGTCAGTGTCAATTTAGTGTATATACATGTACTTTATTTATTTATTTTTGTGTTACAATAAAACTGATACCTTCTTTACTTTCTTTTTCATTAAAATGAAATAACAAATTGCTTTTTATTTCCATTTAACAACAGATATCAAGAAGCAAGTTAATAATCTTCTGTTTCGTTTCTTTAATTTAAGTAACTATGCCCAGTGATTATGAATCATTAATTACCATGCTTTCCTTTTTATTACTTTGGACGTATAAAACATTTTATTTAGTCACTAATAAAGGATGCAATATTACTACAATCGGTGTGTTAGTAAATGAAATTCATGTGAAATGAATTGATGTTATTGTCTACAAAAAGTGACAAATACCAAAATAAACATCAAATATGTCATTAAGGAGATCATGGAAGTTAGCTACCAGTATATACCTTTATATCCAAATATTAGGTCAATTCAATCTTTCTTTTTTTTTAACGGTAAAACATTTTTTTCTTTATGTAAAAAAAAAATTGCTTGTATGGAATTCGATTAAAGATCTATCTGTGGTTTATTGAAAGTTTTTTTTTTCTTGAAGAATCTCAATTAAGAGTTGTCCAGGCCATATCTCTAAGGTTGTTGTTTTATTCAATAAAATTGTATCTGAAAGTGAAAAAAGCATTGGAGAACCACACTAAATACCGTATTCTGGTATATACCAGACAAGTTACTTGAATGATTAGATGCTAAAATCTTGCCTTTTCACCCAACGGAATGAACTTTAAAATTACTAAATGATCTCTACACACTGATTTATATACGATAATGAATGAAAAATGTAAGAATTGGCGATATTTGTCTATTTTGTGATCATGATTTTTGCAAGTGTCTAGAAGTACTGCTCCAATCCTGTATTGAGTAAAATCCTTTGTAACTTAGGTATTGCAAGATGAACATACAGTACAGTAATAACATGCTATTATACTCTGACACACTTCCTGTTTAAAGTTTCTATTATGCTATGTTTTATACAGAGCGTGAAGAGAGAGAAAGATTAGCTGAGGAGGAAGCTTTAATGGAGAAAGAAAGACAAAGAAGATTGAGAGAAGAAGAAAGAAGAAGGAAAGAAGAGGTTTGTATTTTTAAATGATCTTATTTTGATATCACTGTTTACATTTCAGTCACAAAGTAACAGGTAATATCATCTCATATACATGTATTTATTTTCAATAGTTCACTAGGTAAACTCACTCTTGTAAAATGTAATTTTGTTGAAAGATATATTCTAGTTCATGATATTATTTTAGTTTCACATATTTGATATAAGTTAAAAAGTATCTTAGCTTTTAAGTTTGCATGATCATGCAAAATACTTGTTCAATGTTACAACTATCTTTTGTATGTACATATAGTATATAATTATAGTAAATGTATATAATAAGTTTAGAAGCCACATAAGAAGCTAAAATACATTACAACCTGTATAGAGGGTCCCTTTGTAGAACAGTAACCTCTATACAGCATTTTGTTCCAAAGTAAGACTTCAATAAATTTAACGTCTCCAAACAACCATCTCTCAGAAACAGCTTAAATCTTTGTCTCCCTTCTGAAAAAACTTTCATCTTATTTCAAGTCAGTAAAATATTAGAGATGTATTGTATAATGTATTAATACACTTGTTACTATATATAGTAACAAAATTGCCTATGATTTCAACTGATTATGAGTGTCACGTGACCTATTATGAGTTTGCGGCCCGGGGCCGAGAACTAGTTATCAGCCCGTGGAACATGTGCACGTGCACAAACTGAAACAATGACGTCATATTTTACGTCATCAAACAGTTAACTGTAAAAGTGAAAGTAGGTTGTCAGCACGAATCACTTTATTTGTATTATGAGAACTTAAGCGTATTTAGTACAAACACAGTTTTGTTACTTTTGAAATTTGAAGATTTAATACGACAAATTCATTCCGAAAAAAAATGAAAATAAAACTTGCTTCTAGTAGATTCTACTGCTTTGAACACACAAACAGTAAACATATCTGTACAGAACAGAAGAAGAGTACAGTAGACAAGAATTTCAACGAAAGAACTTTGTTGTTGTTGTTTTTTTGTTTGTTTTTTGTTTTTTTTATAATGCTACTATTAGATCTACCAAGTGTATTAAAGACATTAATACACGTCAGAGTAGGGCCGGAAGGTGATAATCGGCCCTGAATGAATAATGGCCCTCGGGTCCATTATTCATTTTGCGGGCCGATTATCACCTTCCGGCCCTCTCCTGCCGTGTATTAACCTCTTATTGCTTGAATTTGTGACTTCCATTGCTAGATTTTATTGTGATTTAACTTTTTACAATGATGGATAGAGAAATATGATTGAATAATTTATGCTCAGAAAGTTACTACTGTTTACTTGTTAATGAAGACAGGTATTGTTTTAAAAGCAATAGAAAAATGGAATTCATCTAGAAATGAACATTTTGGCAGTCTCAAGTGAAGTGTTAAAATATATATTTTTATATAAAAAAGGGAATAGTGTAAACTATATATTTTAGATATTTTATTCTCTGTAGACACATGAAGGTGATGTTATTGTATATTTGAGAGATATTTTATTCTCTGTAGACACATGAAGGTGATGTTATAGCTATAGAGGATGACGTGGGTAAACTTGAGGTAAAACTTGCACCAAACTGTATTCTATATTTCTTGTTGAATGTTTCATGGAAATTTAAGTCATATGATACACTGGAGACTGAACAACTTTTTTCAGGAACATGATAATTGTTATCTTTATCACTTTAAAGGAGCTCCATTGAGGTCAAACAGCAATATCAAGTGACTGAATAAAACAATCTGCAAAAGATAATAAAGAAATATACTCCAGAGTTAGATTGATGTTTTTAGCCTGGATGAGTGAAAAACCTTGCAATGCTTTTCATATTCTGGTCATTTTGCAAAGAAATTCTAAAATCAAATGGTTCACAAGTCTCAAGAAAAAAAATTTGTCAATAAAAAAAGCCTCAGTGGAGTCCCTTTGATGTTTTGACTTTATGGCACAGAAACTATATTTTTATTGTGTAGGGAGATTAAATTTACAATTTGATTATATATGTAATAATTAATCTACAAACATGTATTTGTAAAAATTGCTGTTGCGCTGTGAAATAAGAAATGACTAAGACAAAAAACTAATATTTATTGCATGTATTTGTTGGAATAGTTATAACTAACCTGACCTCTCAAATGATTAAGTATAGACAACATGTTTATAATACCACAGATTACCATGTCAGACACTACTGTTGTAGTAAAATCTGAACTAGACACAGTGGTAGATACAGAATCTGATAAAGAAAAGCCAGTAGATAACTTAACTGATTCTGGAACTCCAAGTACAATGTCAGATAACACTGCTGAAATAAGATCAGAACCAGATGCTGTAATTGCCACAGCCCCTGATAATGGAAAGCCTACATATAACTTGACCAACACTGCAACTCATGTGACTAATGTGGTTGTATCAGTGAATGGAGTGAACAAAAGTCAGGCATCAACAGAGACAGATGTAGTAGATAAAGTTAAAGAAGAAGCTAGTGATGTTTGTAATGAGGAAATGTCTGGCTCTAATATTGATGATATGGTAGATCTCAGGGGCACTGTACAAATTTTAAGATTTTTATGTTGTTTTTGATATTGTGACCATTCACTTGATCAAAAATGTGAAGATAAAAATCAAATAATAAAGCACATTGGCATGAAAAACAACAGAACAGATTATAACTTTATAATACAGTGAAACAAAGTGATATATTAGTTTGTCAGAAAGATCAAGTGATGAGATATATAAAGTATGTAAACATTTTTATTGTGAGCTCTGAGTTGACTTTGATATAATATGATCACACAGAGGTTTTACTCTGCTTTTCTTCTTCTCTAGTGTGAGCATGTTGTTTTTGTTTTGTTTTTTGTTGTTGCTGTACTTTTGCAGTGTTTAGTGATTGATTTTAATAATATTGTTCAATTTTTATATGCAGCATTTATTTTTCCTCTTGTCATATACAGCATCAAGATAAACAAGGGACAAAATTTTATAAATTTGTATGAAAAAAGATAAGTATTGAAATTCAAGTTAAGAGAATATTTTTTGTGTATGCTTTATAGTTTTATTTTTATTCATAAGTGTTTATTTCTTTCCGAAATATTAAAAAGGAAATTTTGAATATACATGTGTGTACAATGTTTAACCATATGAGTGTGTTTTTTTTTCAGATCTATATTAGGTAAAGGTATATAATATGAAATGAATGTATTTTACTATGTATTTATGATAATGATCATGTTAAAAACCTGTACTTTGTAGCAGCAGGAGATGGAGGAAATGATGTTATAACATGTGTGTGTGTCCACTTGTCCATGGATTTTTTCCACAATTTCGAGAACATGACCCATACCCATGGAAATGGAAATTTCGGCGAAGTTTTGATAAAAATTGGGCGTAAATGCATGACTGGAATTTTGCAGTGATTAAATGAATGCAAACAATCACTGTCAAGGGTGGTATCTTAAAACATTTTAGCACTATTACAGTGATGAAGCTCTTATTTTCAAAGCTTTAGAATTCTTTATTCAATATTTTTATTTTGTAACTTTCATTTGGGAATATTTTCCTGTGGATTGGGAAAATAATATACTAATTTCAATTGGGAATATGACCCAATAACGGTTACAAAATAAGCCAAAAAAATCTCTGATGTCATCAGCATTTTACAGGAGGTCCTTATAGGACATGATAGAGGGTTAGTTAATGTTATACTAGTAAATGATTTTACAGGAATATAACAGGTGTAGTTTATGAAGGAAATAGTATGATATGTATGAATTGTATTATATGGTTAACATATATATAACCAATACATTACAGGAGCTTCAGAGGCATGACGATGAGGCAAGAAGAAGAATGATGGAGGAAGAAGGTAAGAACTCTTATATCTCAGCTGGATGTATACTAGCTCAGCTTAATGTATGGATAAGGTTTAGGATTAATATCTCATCTGGAGGTATGGCCAAAGTTCAGGATTGATATCTCAGCTTGATGTATAGTCAGGGTTTGGATTTATACCTCAGCTTGATATATGGCCATAGTTTACGATTAAATGAAAGATTTATAGCTCAATATGTACCCAGTTTTAGGATTTACATCTCCACTGGATATATAGCCAAGGTTTAGTATTTATAATACAGCTGGATATATAGCCATGGTTTCAGATGTTGTATTTCTGTTGGCTGTATGTCCCGACTTTGATTTGTATCTCATTTGGCTAATAGCCAGGGTTTTATATAGCATGTTATGAAAGCTGGCTTTAGAATAATTTACCTCTCTTCACTGGATGATTTGATATATTATAGATAGGTAGTATATAAACTGTGATTTGTAGATGAATTTAGCTGATTTATATTTATTTTTTACAGAGGAGCGTAGGAGATTGCAACGCCAGAAAGAAGAAGAGGTACATTATTTGTTTACCATATAGGGAACTGGAAAATTTCTGATCATAACATTTTGAAATAGGTATCTTCGACAAAACTGATATAGCTGCTGGCATAGAATAACTTTCCCACAGCTCATTTTTAACTATATCCTGATAGGAAAGTTAATCAATCGTAGATATCTGTTTCGCTCTGATATAATACATGGAAGTGTCAATTTAAAATTGACAAAAAAACAACAACAAAAAAAAACAAAAAAACAAAAACAAAACAACTAACTGTAGAACTTTTTATTCAAACTCTATTCCGTCCATCCAGGACCTCCCTGCACCTACTCTCAACAAGGGCCATACCAACAATATAGCAGTGAATGAATAAAAGAAAATAAAATGTTTTGCTGAAATATTAAAACCTGATAGTGGAGCAATGAATAATAAAATCAGACAACAGATTATTATCTTTTAAGTTATAAAATACTAAAGGAGCACTTGTTTTTTTTCTGTTTTTGATGATGATTTATCAATTGTTCTTGTTTTTTTTTTTGTTGTATATATATTTTATATTGTTATACAGGAGAGGCTATTGGAGGAGCAGAGGCTGCGTGAGTTGGAGGAGGAAGAGGCACGGAGGAGACAAGATGAGATGGAGAAATACAAAGATGCTGAAAAAATACTTGAGGTAATACACTTGTTAATCAATGTTATCTATAGTACTGTCCTATGAAATAGTGTTCAGTTTGACCATGACTAGCAGATTACTCCTATTGGTTTTGTTAGGTCAAAAGGTCATTGGTAAAGGTCACCAGGGACTTAACCACTAAAAGCACATCCAATCAATAACTTGAGAATGCTTTGGCCTACATTCCTAAGATTTAGTGTGGAGGTTGGTCATTACCATAAGTTGACCCCTATTGATTTTAAGGTCAACATGACCTTCGCCACATAAAGCTTGTGGACCAATTACTAAAGACTGCCTTGGTTTACAGTCCTAAGATTTGGTGTAGATAATGATCATAACAAGAAGAGAACCCCTATTGATTTAGAGGTAATTAGGTCAAAAGGTCAAGGTCACCATTGCTTATTTTGACTATACTTTAAGGTTACTTCTATTTTGACTACCGATATATTTTAAGGACACAATTCTATTTTGACTATATTTTAAAGAAACATTTATTTTGACTATATTTTAAGGAAATATTTATTTTGACAAAATTTTAAGGATACTCATGAGAAAGAAAAAGATCTTGAGGAGCAGTTGCGTATTGTACGTGAGAAACTGAAAGTGGAGACAGATGAAAGGAAGAGGAAAGAATTGGAGGAGGAAGAACAGAGGCTTCTTAAACTGTTATATGGTAATATATCTTATGATATACATTTTCTAATAAAAGTACAATCATTTTTAACTGAAGAAATACATACATTCAGACTGGTTTTTATATTCCACAGGTTCATATGCCTGCTCTTAAGGAAAGTAATTTCTCCAGTTATGCTTAGATTTGTTTTGCACATTTTAAAGAATGCATGTAATGAAAAATGAAAAAGTGTACAATTCTAGTAGATTGTTATTACTCTTATTGATAGTGTATTGATGTAATCATACTCGCAGCACAGTCAACCTTACATGATAGCACACATAATGTTGACTATAAAGTCTATAAACAGCTCATTATTATACTGACTTTTTTATACCCCCGCACAACAAAGTTGTAAGGGGGGTATACTGGAATCAGCTTGTCTGTCCGGCCATCCGGCCGTCCGTCGGTTTTTTCTTGTCCGCCCAATAACTTAAGATATCTTTGACCCTTAGTCTTCATATTTGGCATGGAGGTTAGTCATGATTAGTAGATGACCCCTATTGATTTTGAGGTCACCAGGTCAAAGGTCAAGGTCACAGGGGCCTTGACTTCAAAAAGCTTGTCCGCCCAATAACTTAAGATTCCTTTGACCTACAGTCTTCATATTTGGCATGGAGGTTAGTCATGATTAGTAAATGACCCCTATTGATTTTGAGGTCACCAGGTTAAAGGTCAAGGTCACAGGGGCCTTGACTTCAAAAAGCTTGTCCGCCCAATAACTTAAGATTCCTTTGACCTACAGTCGTCATATGTGGCATGGAGGTTAGTCATGATTAGTAGATGACCTCTATTGATTTTGAGATCACCAGGTTAAAGGTCAAGGTCACAGGGGCCTTGACTTCAAAAAGCTTGTCCGCCCAATAACTTAAGAATCCTTTGACCCATAGTCTTCATATTTGGCATGGAGGTTAGTCATGATTTGTAGATGACCCCTATTAATTTTGAGGTCATCAGGTCAAAGGTCAAGGTCACAGGGACTTTGACTTCAAAAAGTTTGTCTGCCCAATAACTTTAGATTCCTTTGACCCACAGTCTTCATATTTGGCATGGATGTTGATCATGATAAGTAGATGACCCCTTGTGATTTTGAGGTCACTGGATCAAAGGTCAAGGTCATAGGGACTTTGACTTCAAAAAGTTTGTCCACCCATTTACTTAAGATTCCTTTGACCCACAGTCTTCATATTTGGCATGGATGTTGATCATGACTATAAGGTGACCCCTATTGACTTTGAGGTCACTGGGTCAAAGGTCAAGGTCACAGGGACCTTGACAAAAAAAGCTTTTCTTCTCAATTGCTAAAGAATGTCCTGTCCGCAATGTATTGATTTTGACATTTTCACATTTGAAGCTTGTAGAATACATAACTTAGCAATGCACTGGCTTAGTAACCTCAGATTTGGCAGGGAGGTTGTCCTTGAGCTCTAAATGGCCACTGTTGATTCTGACAAAGTGGTATGCGGGGGTATTCACGCCAAGATAGTGGCAGTTCTAGTTTCTTTTTTAAATCCATTCAGTCATCAATAGTGCTGTTGTGTAACATTTGAAAGTTGCTTGTACTTCATGTGTAAAATTAACATTCAGATTTTATAAACATGTAATTTTTGTTTATAATTTGTTCCTATTACTTATATCCAGATATTGATTTAAGAATTCATTTCTAATGTCTTGCATTCATGTTTCTGCAAGTTTAACTTTACTAATGAGTTTAATTAATATGAGATTTTTTTAGAAACAACTTGTGTTCACTTTTTTTATAAATTGCAGGCATGTGTTAAGTCAGTGTGGTCTTACATATTTTTTACTACTCAACTTTCTTATTGAAGTCCTATTATATAACTATGAACAGTTCAAGATTACAAAATTATAGCAGGCTAAGAATTAATTTTAAAAGGACTTACTGATTTATTTTGTATTTAATATCTGAAACACTACAGGTTAAGATATTTAAAGGGACTTGTTGATTTATGTTTTATTTAAGATTTGAAGCACAAGAGGTTAAGATATAACCTGAAGGTAGCTATCAAGGAGAAGGATAAATATAAACTACAGTATTCTATAACTGAGTTTAAAACAGAGAAAGTTGAAGATGTTGACATGGACCTCGAGAAAGCTGAGAAACTCTTGAGAGAGATAACATCTAGAGACAGTGAGTGGGAATATTATCATTTATTACTGTAAACATTATTATAGTCAGTCATTACTGTAAACATTATAATAGTCATTCATTACTGTAAACATTATTATAGTCATTCATTACTGTAAACATCATTCTTACATGTCTTACATTGAGAGATGGTGAGTGGGAACATTATTATAGGTCATTACTGTAAACTTATTCTTTCATGCCTTACATCTAGAGAACATTAATGTCTTGTCTGCTTGCAGTGCGCTTGACATAGTCATCACTTCTGGCGTATAGTTTGGTGTGTGTGTGTCCATCCGTCTGTTGGTACGGATTTGTCTGGTCTATAATTTGCTCTTTCCTTGAAGGATAACAAAATAATTTGGTACAAATGTTCACCATTATGGTGTGGTGTGCTGCACTCAAAACTTAGGTCCCCCTTAAAAAGGTCAAGGTCTTAAATGGGGGTCAGTGCAAAACCCATGTCCGGAGCGTAACTTCCACATGCATTGAGCGATCATTAATGTTGTAAAAATTTTCATACAAGAAATTGTCTTTCTCCATTTAGTATTTAGTACCATTTTATAAAAAGTAAATGCAAAATAGGATTTTTTCATGTAACATAAATCTACATATGTATTTGTACAGTAACAATTATTAACCATACAATTATCATGTCAGATTTGAGGAAAGCTATGTCACGCAGAGAGATAGAAGAGTTAGAGAAGGCCATCAACATTATAAAGAAGAATGGTCTAGAAATACAGCTGGCACGAGAGCTTCGTGACGCTTACGAGATTCTTACACGTCTACGCAAGATTCAGCGTATCCGCTCTGAGATCTTGGAGCTGAAACAGTCAACTGTAGCTGAGATAAGGAGTTACCAGAAACCTCCACCTGTTGTTCATACAGTCATGACTGCTACATTCCTAATACTAGGTCATCAAGAGAAAGAAACAAAGGTAAATAATTGTTACTGGTAGTTATAATGCATATTTTGGATATATTTTATGAGTGTGCCTCTTCCCAAACTGAAATGTTATATTTTGTTAGCTCACCAGAGCCGAAGGCTCAGGGTGAGCTGTTAGTATCAAAGGGGGATGCTCCGGCGTCCATTGTCCGTCGTCATGCGTCAACAATCATCTTCTTCTCTGAAACTACTATGCAGATTTACTTCAAATTTGGTCTGTAGCATCCTTGTGACAGTCACACTTGAATTTGCTCATGTCATTCCAATTGGCCCCTTTTAGGAGTCAGCAGAGCTAAAAATAGAAAAACCTTTACACATCTTCTTCTACAGAACTAATGGATGGATGATCACCAAACTTTGTCTGTAGCATTCTTTGGTAGTCCTTAATCAAGTTTGCTCATATTAATTTGATTGGCCCCTTTTAGGGGTCTCTAGGGCTAAAAATAGAAAAACCTTTAAACATCTTCTTCTACAGAACTAATGGATGGATGATCACCAAACTTTGTCTGTAGCATTGTTGGGTAGTCTTTTATCAAGTTTGCTTATATGAATTTGATTGGCCCCTTTTAGGGGCCGCTAAAGCTAAAAATAGAAAAACCTTTAAACGTCTATTTTTACAGAACTAATAGATGGATGATCACCAAACTTTGTCTTTAGCATTCTTAGGTAGTCTTTTATCAAGTTTGCTAATATTATTTTGATTGGCCCCTTTTAGGGGTCTTTAGTGCTAAAAATAGAAAAACCTTTGAACATCTTCTACAGAACTAATTGATGGATGATCACCAAACTTTGTCTGTAGCATTCTTGGGTAGTGTTTTATCAAGTTTGCTCATATTTATTTGATTAGCCCCTTTTAGGGGCCACTAAAGCTAAAAATAGAAATACCGTAAAATGTCTATTTCTAGAGAACTAATTAATGGATGACCACCAAACTTTGTCTGTAGCATTCTTGGGTAGTCTTTTATCAAGTTTGCTCATATTAATTTGATTGGCCCCTTTTAGGGTTCTCCATAGCTAAAAATAGAAAAACCTTTAGATATCTTCTTCTACAGAACTAATTGATGGATGATCACCAAACTTTGTCTGTAGCATTCTTAGGTAGTCTTTTATAAAGTTTGTACATATGAATTTGATTGGCCCCTTTAAGGGGCCGCTTAAGCTTAAAATAGAAATACCTTTAAATGTCTATTTCTACAGAACTAATGGATGGATGATCACCAAACTTTGTCTGTAGCATTGTTGGGTAGTCTTTTATCAAGTTTGCTTATATTAATTTGATAAGCCCCTTTTAGGGGCCGCTAAAATTAAAAAAAGATATACGTTTAAACGTCTATTGCTACAGAACTAATTGATGGATGATCACCAAACTTTGTCTGTAGCATTCTTGGATAGTCTTTTATCAAGTTCGCTCATATAAATTTGATTAGCCCCTTTAAGGGGCCGGTTAAGCTAAAAATAGAAAAACCTTTAAACATCTTCTACTACAGAACTAATTGATGGATGATCACCAGACTTGTAGCATTTTTGGGTAATCTTTTATCAAGTTTGCTCACGTTTATTTGATTGGCCCCTTTTAGGGGCTGCTAAAGCAAAAAATAGAAAAACCTTTAAACGTCTTCTACTTCAGAACCAATTGATGAATGATCACTAAAATTTGTCTGTAGCATTCTTGGGTACTCTTTTATCAAGTTTGCTTATATTAATTTGATTAGCCCCTTTTAGGGGCCACTAAAGCTAAAAATAGAAAAAACCTTCAAACATCATTTCCTACTGAAATAATTGATAGATGATCACCAAACTTTGTAGCATTCTTAGGTAGTCTTTTATTAAGTTTGCTCATATTAATTTGATAAGCCCCATTTAAGCTAAAGCTTAAATGCCCCAGGTCATGGCATTTCTTCAAATTATTGTTTAAACATTTTCTATGCTCAAATTAAATATTAGAATATATTGACAGTTGTTTCTGGTGAGCGACTCAGGGCCATTATGGCCCTCTTGTTATTTTTGTTCATTCAAACAAATTCAGGCGTCTATTGCTAATGTTCTATTTAAGGGGCTAAGGGGCAAGAGATTCAAACATACGCCTGCTTATATGAATGAAATACAATATTAACCTTTACAAAATACAGTATGTATCCTGTCCCTGCTGAATCTATTTACATGTAATTTTTTTTTCTTATTTGAATTCTGAATGGTCCTTTTTAGTTTTGTGATTTTTGTATCAAAATGCTAACATTTGGTAGCAAACAGTATAGAGCCTGGTTAGAGTACATAGATGTATAGGACGAACTTCAACTATCTCTGTACTGGAGGTATAGGAAAGTTATTATCCTCACTAGCATTCAAATGGTTTATCTTCAGTTAATGCTTCAATCTAATGTATTAAAATGGTTTTTGTTTATTGTCAGGATTGGAAGAATGTTCAAGCACTTGTGGGTAAGACAGGTAAGGAAGGTTTAAAGAGGCGTTGTTTGGAGTGTAATGCAGCTAAGATATCAACTGCTGCAGCATCTCGAGCCAAGGAACTTCTAGATAAACAGGAACTTGATGAAGTGAGAGATGTATCTGCTGGGGCTGCAACTTTCTATGTGTTTGTAAGTCATAGTTTTCTTATAGATTAAAACCAAATAATTTCTATTTAAATTTTAAGATCAGCTCTGAAATGTAAGGGGAGAGCTATTGTACTCACCCATGCATCAGCGTCGCAGTCACACTTTGATTAAGTTTTTCTGTCCAAGTTGGTTTTCCAAACCTGTTGAAGGGAGTGGATTGAAGCTGCCCATACTTGTTTTCTGTGATAGTCTAACATGATGGGTGCAGGCTCCATAACTCTTGAGTTACCTTTTAAGAGTTATGCCCCTTTTGTAAGTGTCAAGCACTGAGATAATCAAATACCCTCCTGTCTTATGGACAACTCTTGTTTTAGTATGTTATTAAATATGAAAAGGTATGGACTTGTTTGTTTGTAGTGAATATTTAAGTATTTATGTTATTTTATAAGTACGTTTAGGTATTTATGTTATTTTATAAGCACATTTAGGTATTTATGTGATTTTTTAATACATTTGAGTATGTGTTTTTATAAGTCCATTTCTGCTGAAATTATGATAGTAATCATTGTCATTACTGAATAAGTGGCTGAAAATTTATACTTCAACCATACTTTAAATGTAATTTAGTACATTTGTTTAAAGTACTTGTGCGTAAGTAGATTTTACACCTTATACTAGAATAAAGTCAGTTTTATTTCACTGTTTATTTGCTTTTTACTACTTTTGATAAACTTAACAACAAAATATTTATACTAGGTTGATACCATTGTGTCAGAGATATTTATGGAGGCCGGATCAGTCTTGGACTGGTTCTAGTACAAACATTTACAGCAGTCAGTAATATAGACACATTAAAGTACAAACAGTAACACAGTCTGTTTGCTGCATGATCATGTGACTAATTATGTGATTTATGTTGCTAGGCATTCCATGCATTCAGAATCCTTTTAATTAAGTTTTTATACGCTGAATTAGATTTTTCCCAAAGGAAATGTTTCAAAAAAAAAAAATCATAGAATGGAAACATAAAGTAGAACATTGTACAGGCTTCAAAATCATTCTTGAAAACAATTTGCTTATATTAGGGGGGAAAAATCTGTAGATTTTTTAATCTGAGTAACAAAACACCCTAATAATGTAGTGAATTGTTTCAAGCCAGTAACTGCTAGTAGAATTTTGAATACAAGGAATGTGAACTTCATGTTGCTTTGATGTTTTTAAATGCAAAATTTGACAGCTTTGTAATGAGTGTTTTGTTGTTTTATGTGATGCTTAAAGTGTGTTTTATTGTTGAGGGATTGCCCTAACATTGTAGTAAATTCTTCTGCATATAAATTGTTTTTAAACTGAACAAAATAAGGAACTGACATATATTTTTGTCCCATACTCTAGTTCTGATTTTTAAACAGCAATCAATCACATTATTGTGGGTTAACATTAAATGAGTGTGTTTTTATGTGTGTGTTTATGAAATTCTTGAATTCTATTCATCACATGTGTTTTTATGCATTTTTTTGTCACACAGATTTTAAGCAATTATGACAATTTGATTTGTTTAAGGTATTAATTATGATAAGTAAAACATTCATTTTACTTTATTGTTTGCAATGCACCCATAGTCAAATAGAAAACTAATTTTAGATCTATAAAGTATATATATGACAGGAGTAAGTGTTTTTAGATATAGATATACATGTAAATACAAAAATATTACCTTCCTCCAATGTTGCCCTAAGTTTTTACCATAATGCATCAAAATATGTATTAAAATTATATTATGATAATACTTGTAGTCTGTTGCAATGGTAGAGGAATGTATTGATCTAGCAGAAAGGGGTCCAATAGAGCAAGAAGATACCGACATTCCTGCAGCCGCAGCCAAACCTAAAATTGATCCAACCAAGATGGTGGTTAGCCGATCCAAACAAATGGTTACAACATCTGGACCTAGAGCCCGCAGTAAAACACCTACCAGGAAGAAATAGAATCAAAAATCTTGTAGATTATGAATGGTGTAACTTTGCAAGAAGGGGAATAACCTTGTACAGAATCAAATTGTTGTAACTACTCAACATTGCTTTTTTTAAAATTTTCATTTGTTTGTTTTTCTTCTATATTTGATTATTTTGTTGTTTTTTATGCCAAGTGTTATTGGTTTATTATTTGTATATTTGTAATATGAACTATCATTTTTAGTGACTTGACAGTCCATCATACTGTTCTATAATGTTTCTCAAATGTTTTATTTTATTCATATGTTTTCTTTATTGATTATGCTTAACCTGTTGCTTTTTCTCTTACAAAAATGTAGATTATTCAACAAACATCTTTGTTTATTATTATTAACAAGTTTTTTATTTGCATTTATTTATTGTAAGATTTACATGACAATCATTTGTGTGTGACTGAAAAACTATATAAATGACACTAAAACCAAATCAAAACATTTATACATGTGTTTTTAGTTTATGACCAAGTTTAAAATTAAATATCCAACAGTAGGCCTATTAGGTTTTATTATTTATTATTAGGTAGACTTTTTATAAATGTACAGAAGAGCTGAAAAACATTCAGTTTTCAAGTCAGAAGATTGTTATGATGGGTTACAAAGATGAAGCATTTAATAATTAATAGTGTCATAGTTTAAGTGAGCCGGGATAAATGCAGTGACCAGTGTCAGAATGATAATTGTGTCTTTTAACAAACATAAAGCTATTATCATTTTGCGTTAACTTAGAACACATTAATTTTGCCTATTTCCTGGTCTATGTTAAAAATTATGTATTTTTTATAATCCTAAAGCAGAAAAAAATGACTATCATCAAATATATATAGACATGTGTCAGTCATATTTAAGAATTGATTTGATTTTGTATTGTATTTACATGTTGTTATTTGTGTGCACTTATATATAATGTATATGCATTTATACATATGCATAAAAGCATTTAATGTTTACTGTACCTGCTGGCAGGAGTCCATGTTATCTTTTTATTTATAATGTACGTAATGAAACAAAATTATTATATTTTTACATAACAGAAGTAAGCTTGAAAAAATAACAAGTTTCTCTAAACATTCTATTGTTTCACCTCTAAGAATGCATAAATTTTTAAATGAAGTCCCAATAGGTTTTGACACATAATACATGTATGTTATATTCTTCTGCAGGCTAGTTGTTGTTTTGTTGTTTTTTTCATCCAAATTCTGTCAACATGCAGTCAACATACAGTCAACTAGGATAATGACCAGATTATTTCAATGAATTTATAGATCTTAATTTGAAAATTATATTGACAATTTATGCCCTCCTGGAAAGGTTTGGTGATGAGGGATCAGGGCACAGATCAATTCTCAAATGCCAATATGTATATCTAATCATTACTACATTAAATATCTAATATGGATTTGTCCATCTATCAATCTGACAAAACAGTTTATTTTAGGGAAAATTAATATAAATACTGACTGAGCGTACAGTGCAGACCATGATAAGTGGTTGATTATGCTCTGCATATTATTGTTTGCACTGGTCGTGTTGTCTGAATTAGTTGCTGGTAGCAGGCTAAGGGCTTATTTAGAGCCGCGTCACGACAAAACCAACATAGTGGGTTTGCGACCAGCATGGATCCAGATCAGCCTGCGCATCCGCCCAATCTGATCAGTATCAATGCTGTTCGCTAACGAACTCTATAACAAGTAGAGAAACTGAAAGCGAACAGCATGGATCCTGATCAGACTGGGCGGATGCGCAGACTGGTCTGGATCCATGTTGGTCGCAAACGCACTATGTTGGTTTTGTCATGGCGTGGCTCATATAATGTATTTGTGATACAAGTTAAATAAACATAAAAACTGTGAAAGTTCTATAAAGATTACATATCTTAAAAACTTTGCTAAATTTGTATCATGAGTTTGTTTTGTTTGATTTTGGAAAAATCTTATCCTAGTTTAATGTTATTTTTTAGTATTTAGATGGTAAGATAAAGAAACCAATGTATATAATCTGGTCAGACGGACTGAATGTTTAGACTTGTCACTCTCTCTGCTAGTTACATATACATGTTAGTCTTCATCAACACTGATATTTACATATTTATGAAAGTACTATAATCATAGTTACATTTGTCCTTTTTATTAGAATTAATGACAAAGATTTATCTAGATTTATGTGGGAAGTTTTTTTTCTATTATTTTTGTGCCTACGTGCTTTTGTAGTTTATTTTTGTTGTAAACTGGAAAGCAAATTCTTTAACGTTATTAACATAAAATCTTTATATCTAAATAAAGCAATGATTTAAATGGAGAACAAATTGAAATAATATAAATTTTTTTTTCGGTGAGGGAAGCGAGAAACACAAACATTTCAATGAAATTTTTGACAATGACAATGCATAAAAAAAATATTTGTAAAGAAGACAATGTTCCGAAAAATTTTTTTTTTTTTTTTTTTTTTTTTTTTTTTTTTTTTTTTTTTTTTTTTTTTTTTTTTTATACTTTATCGAAGAAAACTAAGATTTTTGACTCGTAAATTATGAAATTAAGCATTATCGGTGATAAATATGCAGAACATTCCATTCCTATCTGTGAATTAAAATAAAAATGAACTAAATGAATCACGTGTTGTTGTTAATTTAATTATTTTGTTGTTCTTATTTGTTCTATGAAGAAAGAAGTATTACTGATGGCTGTGTCAGAGTACGGTATATCAAATACTGCTGAACACACAAAAATCGCCAACTGGACGTTGAGTTCTGAAATAATGTTTTTATAAAGACAATACCAGCAGGTGTCAAAAAGTAAAATTGATGTTCTAGTTTGTGTGAATGAATATTGCATAATTATACCGAATGTATAATTTCTAGTAAAACACCCTTTTCCCGCTTTTTTGGTGGTTGGGGCATCGGTGGTTCTCGGGTCCCCGTTCGTGCTTTAAATAATGCACATTCCTGAATGGCACCAAAGATCTTTCTCCGCCAGTAAAGCTTGGAAGTCGTCATATGACTTATATAGTTTTGGTGGCTTGGTGCGACGTAAAACCCGACAAAACGATAAAAAATGGAAGAAAATTGTATCCGATTAACCGTTAAAGATGCCTTTTATTTTAAGATGGTCTAGGTCTATCAAAAAGGATCGATATGGTGTTCGCTTTGCTTTGAGTTAGGCTACATAAAATAAATCAGAAATAATTTGAATAAGCTTAAGATAAAGAAAAATAACCTGCAATATTTTGACCTTAAGATGAAAGTATTATTTTCACAATAATTATATGTTAGTTAAGAAGGCAGGTGCTTTATCCAATGTCTTAACATGTAGCAGAAAAATCAAATTAAATATGAAATCGATAAGTCTAGAGATTTATTAGAGACGACAAGATCAATATAGTCATTTTGTTGTCAATATAAGTCGTGAGAATATAAGGAATGTGGACAGGATGATAACCGGTCGAAATTGATTATTAGAAATCTTGGACAGGTAATATTTATATCTGATTAGTCCAGACCATCCGTCCTAAAACAGAAAAGTGATAAAATAACTGCGACATAGAAAAAGATAGAATAACTGCGACATAGAAAAAGATAAACGTATTTTTTCGCTATTGTGGAATCAGAGAAACGGTTTAACGACCTAAAAAAATTTAATAAGAAACAAAAGTGTATTTGAACAAAAAAGGTGTATAAAACACTAGTAACGCCTTTGAAGCTGACACAACCAATATTTTGATACTGATATTGAAAAATGACATTTTTTCTTGTTAAATACGACTGTCATCAATTGACAACCAGCCAAATGCGGGGAAAATTCGTTCAATATGGAAAATGATCCGCTTTACAATTATCACACGGTGGAAATTACAGTGAAATAATTGGAGAAAATGGGTTTTGATAATGCCGTACGACCAATTCAGGTTAGTTATAAAGTTTTGTATATATATGTTTGATTAACTGTTTATTTGTTTACTTTGAAAGGTTAAATAATCCTCTTCCATATGACAGTGGTTTGAACTTTAAATATTTGTAAACAAAATCTGTAAAAGTGCTTGACTGTTTAACAGTTTATTTTAGGGAAAATTAATATAAATACTGACTGAGCGTACAGTGCAGACCATGATAAGTGGTTGATTATGCTCTGCATATTATTGTTTGCACTGGTCGTGTTGTCTGAATTAGTTGCTGGTAGCAGGCTAAGGGCTTATTTAGAACACCATATGAGCCGCGTCACGACAAAACCAACATAGTGGGTTTGCGACCAGCATGGATCCAGATCAGCCTGCGCATCCGCCCAATCTGATCAGTATCAATGCTGTTCGCTAACGAACTCTATAACAAGTAGAGAATCTGATAGCGAACAGCATGGATCCTGATCAGACTGGGCGGATGCGCAGACTGGTCTGGATCCATGTTGGTCGCAAACGCACTATGTTGGTTTTGTCATGGCGTGGCTCATATAATGTATTTGTGATACAAGTTAAATAAACATAAAAACTGTGAAAGTTCTATAAAGATTACATATCTTAAAAACTTTGCTAAATTTGTATCATGAGTTTGTTTTGTTTGATTTTGGAAAAATCTTATCCTAGTTTAATGTTATTTTTTAGTATTTAGATGGTAAGATAAAGAAACCAATGTATATAATCTGGTCAGACGGACTGAATGTTTAAACATAAGTGACATTTAGGCTGTTTGTGTGTTTTATTATGAAAAATAGGGAAAGAATTTGGCAACAAAGGTACAAAAATATAGTATTTAACTTTTTATTACTTTAATTCATCCTGGTGCATTTTCCCGTACAAATGTTTTTATATTATACATGTCGCTACATTTTCAAAGAAAATGTTAGACTTAAACGCGCGCAATGAGTAAAATATTGATTCATTTGCGAATTTTATAATACACATTTCTACATTTTTAAAAATATTTAGCATGCAGATTTCATTTTTTGCTTCGGGGTGGGGGGGGGGGGTGGGGGTGGGACCTCATGTTGCCGTATCGGTTATTTGAAACTTAAGCACCCAACCAAAACAAATCTGGATTTGTGCCTGTAATTGTGTCTGAAAATGGCAGAAGTGAAATATCAATATATAATACATATTTCAAAATGTTTGGTTTAAAATATTTAGACTAAATCCAAAGTATCTATACGTGATGATGATGATAAAAATGATGATATACTCAATGAGGGTCCAGAAACCAGACGAGAATGCAGAGATGTTGTCTTCTTGTGTCTCTTCTCCTTGTTCACTGTAGGAATGGTATAGCATGTTTTCTTTAAGTTGTATACGACGATTTACTCTCTGCGTTTAATTTCTGCAAACATTTAAATGTAAAATTTTCATCTCGATTTAAATCATAAAAACATAATTATGGCAGTGTTATTAAAATAAGCCAAGGTTTTGTATGGAAATTTCGACGACCATTGTAAAATATGAGATTTGTCTTAAGGTACATTGAACTATATCAATATAGATACAGATACAGAGTATATATAAAATATGTTAGCATTACACAAAATAAGTTTTTAAAATCTCTTCTCATACTTTATGTATAGTCTAAATAAACCAATCTTTTGTATAAAAATATTTTAAATACGAAACTTTTTTATTTAAAAAGTGAACATACCTACCGCTTCAATAGACTTTGATGCTTTTTTTTAAATTAATCATATGATATCATGGAGTTGAATAGACTGTATATCTGTGATGATATATAGGGATTGGTTTCGTGGAGAGCTGTTACTATTGGTGACCCGTACAGACTAGTGTATGGTATAGATAGTTACGGGAATATTTGTAACCAGGACAACAAGATTATTGACGGTGTTATACCAACTCTCACTGGGATAGATCTCAGAGGCATACCGTAAGATGATCAATTGTTATAAGTTTGGTGGTGTAATGTTATGTATGGAAGCACAGAGAGGGCATTCCGATTTTTTCTTGTCCTTTCTCGTGGCCACGAGATATAACTAAAAAAACACAACAAAAACAAACACAAAATCCCTATCATTTTTTGTCTGTTATATCTTTTGGCCACGAGATC